ACAGGTAGGGGAATATCTTGGTCATATGTGGGCTTGTTTTAAACGCTATGGTTTTCCAAATTCCTGTAGGGTTCCGGGATTTTGTCTCCGGACCTCGAGCAGCTAGTAACAGACGGAAACTTGTACGTTTTCGAAGCTTATCTGAAATTGAACCGGTTGCGGGTACAAACTTCTGAACATTGTTGGGTTGACAGTAAAGATGACTGAACGTTTGCCAGAAGTGGGCCGTGCTGAAATGGATTTCCCCGAGGAAACTGCCGCCCTTCACATTGGCAACCTGCTTGACATAATTTTCCCAGTGGAGGAAGAGTCCCAACTGGCTGTACAGGATTCCTTCGACCTGGACGAGAACCCTGACTTGCCCGGAAATGGGTATGACTAACTCTTCCTGTGGGTGGGTGAGTCATTCCCGCGGCGGACCGTGTACCCCCCTGCATGTTGGATTGAATTCAAGCTGGGGCGCCTATCTCGCTATAGAAGACCTCGTTTTAGGCATAAACTTTTCTCCCAGTAACTATGACGAAAGAAAGGGTAGCAGGCAGATGCAACTTACTTTCGCTGATGTTGCGCCCCGAATATCAGGCTATTGAGTACGCGATTGCGAATGGATACACGGCCGGCGAAACCGACTTGCTGAAATTGGCTGGCAAAGCCTGCAGCTGCGTCCATGTATTTCCTCGAAAAAGCATGAGACAACCCCAACTTCCGTGGGGTCCGAAGACACTGGATAAGGAAGTCCGGGGACGCGAACCGCCGTTCAGGCAGTTGTTCCTGAGAAGGCCCCCTCGTTACATTTCTGAAAGGCAGGGCCGGTTTGAAGTTACCCCTCAGCCGAGGCATACATCGGCACCGTTTTGGGAAAGCCGAATGCGTAGGGGCATCGATAGTACGATCTTTTGTAGGACTGCATGGGGACGACGAGACGGACTGCGCTCGTTTCGTATCCGGGTCATGGCGAAGACGCGTCGGCTGGCCGTTTATTTTCTGGAGAGTGCCTCGACTCCCTGTTCGTGGACCATCTTTCGTGCTGAGGTGCTCTATTAGACGGAAACGCTGGATGAGTTTGCGGATTCCTGGACGGAGTTAATTGGGGAGGATGAATTCTTCAGTTCTCTTTTGGAACCTGTGGTCAACCGGAGTGTCATGGCCGACGAGCTTTTGGAAGAAATCTTGGACCAGGGCCTTTCACTTCTGGAAGCGGCTGAAGAAGAGGTCAGAAAAGGCCGATTAATCGCGCGAATAGGAAGGAGTGTGTAATGCGCGCTCTGTGTACTCATAAGCGAACTTAGCACAACAGGCTTCTGTTGCGAAGCTAGGAGCCTTCCAACTAATGGCGAGAGCTCCTCGACCAATTCGCGCGGAACATAATCCTCAACTATCAGACCTCTTCCTAGATTGCGAAGAAGAGTATCAGGGAAGCGCTGATAACCACGGCGCTTTCGAGAAAGGCAACTCCCACATTCTGGCCCGAAGACATCTCCTCAGAAACTCGTACTCTTGGCAGCACAAGCAAGTCCACCAGCTGCCTCAGCACATAGAGCAGTACAAATCCAACTACGGCGAAGATAACGAACTCGGTTATGCCCTGCAGCCAACCCTGGAAATCTCCGGACAAGGCCTTGAGCATAACCAGGCCAATGGCAATGAGGTTGCCACCAAAGGCAACTCCAACTGCAAGGTTGTCTTTTTCGATCTCCTCGTGAATGTCAAATGAAGTCGTAAACTCGTAAGACAGTGCGAACAAGACTAGCACCAATTGCCCCAGGACAAAGAACGCCAGGGAAATTAGGGCTTCGGAAATTTCGCTTTCTCCTCCCGTACCCGAAAGGACACCCGCGATAACCAGTCCCGTGGCCACGAATAGTCCGAATTCGGCCGCACCTGCAGCCGTGTTCTGGTCCTGTATCACTTCCTTCTCAACGTTTAACTTGTAAAGCACCAGCCGGTCCATCACAATTCGCACCAGATTCAATGCGACTATGCCGGCAAGTGAATAGAGAAAGACTCGAAGAACGTCAATCCCGAAGGCTGCATTGAATCCCAAACCTATGTCGACCAGAGCCAGGTAAGTTGGCTGATAAACGGCGCCAACGAATACCAGTACTACTCCGAAAAAGTAGCCAGATATCCGCAATGCCTCGGAGATGTTCTTCTTTTGGACGACTTCCTCGTCCAGTCTATACGCCTCGTAGTGAGGTCCCTGGCAAACTTGGCCAGAATCAGCACCACAACTCCAAGAGCGACGTAGATCAGTCCCCGCGGGAAAAATACTAACGAATCGTTAAGGGCTTCCAGCATCTCACTCACCGGCTCCTGTGTTCCGGCCTTTCGCCGGGATAGAGGTGGACGTTGTCCGGGTCCATTATTTCGCTAAAGTGGGCCTCGAATGGGACATCTTCAAACTTGGTTATAGCCAGAGTCCGACTCTCGTCCTCCGCAAGAAACTCCCACATGTAAAAGCCTTCGCCGTTGGTTGGCCGATTGTCTCGAAAGTAGAAGGCTTCAAAACTATTGCGATAGATATAGCGCAGCCCGTCTACAACGATAGAGCGGTCTATCGATCGTTGTTCATCGATCGACATCAGGTCAGACTCCGTCAAGCCGATGGATTCCAGACCAACGGGGCGGCGATTGTCAGTGGCGGTAACAAATAGCCCCGAACTGTCCTCGGACCAGTTCCACGGCGATATCGCACTTTGTCGGCGTCGGCCACACGATTTTCGTACTTTTTTGCCAACGATGTCCGCTGGCATACCGATAGAATATCTCAACGACGAAAGGTACGAGTCTCTGTACTCCAAGTGGCAACCCTGATAACTACAACGTCCCCGACCCTGGCATCTCGAATGCTCGTCTCCAGGCGTACATCTGTTTTTGACGGTCTCCCTGGTTCTTCTAATCTGACCTTTGCCGAAAAGAGACTCTTAACAGTTTGCTGCCGCCCGCAGCTGGCCGCCCCAATCCTCACTTACCTTAAATGCAATGCTGTGCAGGTAATCTGAGGCAGCACGAAGGAACCGAACTGCTTAACCTGGACAACGGCATATCATTTCGTCCAACTGAAGGAGCACTACTACCTAAGTACAGCACGGGTTAGCAGTCTCCTATAAAGTAGTCCACCAGTTCATAGTTAGCCGAATCCGAAAACAGCAGAAATCTGGGCTATCGCAATTCAGCCCGCATTACTGACCATTATTGATTATTCGCGGTCAATTCTTTTTCCATTGTTTTCTCCGACAAGCCTGACCCGAGATCGTTGATAACCGTCACTCGACAGGCCCTGTTGCCCTCCCCTGCCATAGTCTTTGTGACACCTCTGTCCTTCAACTCCCGTCTACTCACTGGCACACTGCCAGAGTAGAGGAGGGATAACGGGAAGGAGAATCGAAGATGGCGGAATGAGAGGGGGGAGTGCAGAGGGGTGGGGATTGCTATTAGGCTGATGCGATTATAGGTGGGGGTGGGCCGTGGGGGGCAATATATGGGACTTATGGCTTAGGCAGTGGGGCTGTGAGGGGGTGGTGGCTGATTGGTCTGTGAGGCGGTCCTCCGAAACCTTTCTCGGGCACCCGGTTCGCTACCCTCTCCTTACTCCTGGGACCTCTTCGGGGGCCTTCTAGTCCCGCGCCTTCCTGTGCAACCTACCCTGTGCATCACTCTCAGGGGCTTCCCTCTGGTGCTCGTGTGCAAGGGCAGCTGGGGACTCCTCCTCGCCTCTTTTCTCTCTCTACTAGTAAACGCCCATCTCGGTTCTCTTTAGCTCTTGCGTCCGTCGCCGTTCCTTCGGGGCCTACGTCAAAGCACTCTACACTTGGCACTGCTACTTATTTACGAAGGGCCCTCACAACTCACTGTTGCGAGCGGGACCTACGGTGCGCCTATGGAACCAAGCATAGCGTCCTCTTGGCTAGACCTCGCTGAACTCCATGCGGGCGTCTGGGGGGCGGTAACGCGGGGGCGAGTACTATTGGGGGAGAGGCAGGCTAACACCCGGGGAGGGTGAAAGGGGGGGAGGAAAGGAGGGGGGGGAGAAAGGGCTGGGGGTGGAGTGAAGCTGGGGGGGTAGGAAGGGGGGCGGGGGCCAGAAAAAAAGAAGCGGGAACGGCAGGGGGGGCAGTAAGGGGGAGAGGGGGCGGGAGGGGAAGGAAGAAGCTGGGTGGAGGGGGTGCCGCAATGGCAAGAGATGAGCTTAATGGCGTTACCAATGTTATTTACGTCTTAAATCTGCCCCAGCGCGCTGTGTCTGCCATCTGTTGGCAGCGGGAAAATGGGCGGAAATGAGCGAAAATGGTGGGAGAAATTTATTTTCTGCCTCTACGCGGGAGACCAGCCTAGCGTGCTACGCGCTAGCGTAAGAGCAGGATCAGATGAGCGGAAATGGCGGGAAAGTTTAATTAGCTGGCTTCCACACCGGCATCGATCATGCCATATTGGCAGAACCCTGCCTCTTGAATGGGATTGCCCTGCAACGTAGTTTGGTTTCCCTTGACCCTTTGGGGAAGGGAAGGTATTGTTGATTTGAAAGAACGTGGTTGTGGGAAGCACGGGTGTGTGAATCGTAGTACTAACTGTTGCCGATAACGCAAAGTTCTCGGGCTATATTATTTCGCTTTTGAACAAAACTCGGCAATTTGACCCTACCGGTCGGAAACCCCGTTAACCAGGCGAGGAATTATCCATGTCGATATTTGGGTCTTTGGGTGGAATTGGTGTCGCCATATTCTTGTTGGTCTTGGGGATCCTGTTAGTAAGTGGCATCCTCAACTTTTTACTTTGGATTCTTGGGGCAATCTGCATTGTCCTCGGAGTTATAGTTGGCGCCATGGCTATATTTGGGAAGAAGGATAGATATAGATACTGAATTGGGAGAAGGACAGTAAATTTAGAATCAGGTGTGAAGCTGCCACTTGAGCTGGTGGAAAGGGCCCGGAAGTTTCGTTTAACTGGAGGTAGTTCCCATGGGAATGTTCTCAAGGATGTCGACGATCGTAAAGTCGAAAATGAACCGCATACTGGATTCCGCGGAGGATCCGCGGGAGACTCTTGACTATTCCTACGAGAAGCAACTGGAAATGCTGCAGAACGTCAAGCGCGGAGTCGTGGAAATGGTTACGGCCAAGCGACGCATCCAGCAGCAGGCTACCAAGGTCAAAGAGAACATAACGAGGCTGGAACGTCAGGCCAAGCAAGCCCTGGATGCCGACCGCGAGGATCTGGCTCGGCTGGCTCTTCAACGAAAGCAGAATGCGGTGATGGAATTGCAGGGGTTGGATGAACAGATAGAGGGAATGGAGCAGGAGCAACAGAAGCTCACCATAGCGGAGCAGCGCCTGCAGACTAAGGTCGACGCCTTCCGCAACAAGAAGGAAATTATCAAGGCTCAGTACACCGCGGCCCAGGCCCAGGTTAGAATCGGGGCAGCTTTAGGTGGTATTTCGGAAGAAATGGGGGACGTCTCGCTGGCGGTGCAACGGGCAGAGAACAAAACGGACCAGATGCGGGCGAAGGCCGGTGCCATTGACGAGTTGGTAGCCACCGGTGTTCTGGATGATTTTTCAGGCCCCCAGGATGATATCGAAAGGGAGCTATCGCAAATTTCCATCTCGCAGAGCGTCGAAGATGAATTGGCGGCCCTCAAGGGGACTAGCCCCGCAAGCCAGACCAGGGCGCTGCCATCATCGAGCGATTCTGCCGTAGATGCCGAATTGGACTCCCTAAGGAACCAGGGATCTAGCTAGTATCAACAGGACTAGGTGGTCGAACGATGATCGTTAGAATATTAGGTGAAGGTCAGTTCAATTTGCCGGGTGCGGTAATAGAGGACCTGAATGACATTGACAACCGTATGGTTGAGGCTGTGGAATCCGAGAATGAAGAGAGTTTTCGTTCCCTGCTTCAGGAAATGATTGCGTTGGTCAGGGAAAAGGGATCGCCCTTGCCGTTGGATGAGTTGGTTGAGTCTGACTTCATACTACCGGAAACTGATTTGACGCTGGAAGAGGCCGAGCATATTTTCATCGGAGATGGCTTGCTACCGGGATAGGCGGTGACCCAGCATTGGCCTTGAAACTAGAGCGGAACGCAATTTGTGTTCCGCTCCTTCTCTTTTCGTTGCCCTTGTCCGAAACGTCGGAAATGGCCTTTTACAGGTGCCAATGTACGGGAGAAAGAGGTATCGGGCGACGCACTGCCGCAGGGTCAATGCCCGCTCTGAGAGCTGAAATGACTCCGGCTGCTTCCCAATAGTTGTCTACGGGAATAAGTTGTCCCTTAGCCCAAGGCAAGTCAGCCAGATTGTTCCTCATGAGGTTGCGGTTTTCCTTGACCGAAATAACCGGTATTCCTTGCTCCAAAGCTGCCAGAACCGGCAGCCCCACGCAGCCGTCAGGGATTACCAGGCAAGAAACGTCGGCGGCCGTAATTATGCTGGGATGGTTCATCCCTTCCAGGTCGGAAACTATCCTCGGGCTCCGTTGCAAACCCTTCAATACGGACTGTATCAGGGCAAGGGATACGCCCTCAGCCGCCATCCGCGGGTCGACGATGCCTGGATCAGCATTGGCGATTTCCTGGGTTTCCAGCATGGGGGCATGAGCAGAAGGCACATTGAAAATGGTTGAAACGGCATGAGTCAGCATGGCTTCTACTCCGCCCCACGGATTTACCATTTCGCCGTTGCTCTCGAAATAGTCCGAGTGGTAACCGGCAGGAACAAGGATTTGAGAAGTTATAGCCACCGCATCAAAGGAATTTGCTCGTTCCTGCAGGGCGCCAAACAGAGCGTTCAGCCCCCTGACCTTTCCTGCGGCCCTGCCCGAACCGACGTAATTGGCCTCCATTTCAAAGTCTGGGCCCAACCTCACGATACTGGGTACCGTCAAACCGTAAGTGGCCTTGGCCGCATTGACAGAGTTAATAGCCGCATGATGAATAATTCGTCCTCATGGTGTCCCAAAACCACCAGGACCCGGTTGCTGCGCACCGACTGCAATCCTAAAGTACCCATCAGAAGGCGGCTAATCACGCTGCCCTCTACATAGAGAGCATTTGAGGGTATGTCTATGATGTCCGAGGCATTAACGACGTTGGGGTGGGTGATCAGTGTGTCGCAGGCGGCCGCCAGCAACGCCGCGACCGGCGTGGCGTCTCCGGCATGGCCTCCTATTTCTGCGCCAATGCCGGTGGGGACCAGGAGTACGCAAGTGAATTGGCTATTGTTCTCGAGGGACCGACGATGACAACGGAAGAGGGAAGGCAACTCTGATCCCTCCCAGCCAGAAAGAAGACCTATTTCGCAGTGATAGCCCTCTTCGGAGGAAGAAGTAACGGCCAATCGGATGGGAACGTCTCCCTCCTCAGTATGTGAAGTGAGAGCGTCCTCCAAGGGAACCAGCGGGTTCCCTTTCTGGAAGTGGAAGGGGACAATTAGTTCTCTTTCAAACAGAACTGTCGGCATGCGTATTCCAACGAGATGCGAAGTCTTCGTATCCAAAAGTCTTCAACAGGCTCAACTCCCCTCTTTCCCCCAGGGAATAGATGCTGGGCAGGTTCACACCGTTGAACATGTGCGCCTTGGTCAGGGTATACGAACCCACGTTCTTGAAAATGATCCGGTCGCCAATTGAAAGCGGTTTGGTGAAGCGGTATTCACCGAACAGATCTCCAGCCAGGCAAGTGCATCCCGCGAGAGTAAATTCCCATTGGCCGTCGTTCGTATGCCCCTCGATGTCCGGCTCGAAGTCGAACTCCAACAACTCGGGCATGTGGTTCACCGTGGTATCCAGTACTGCTATTGTCTGGTGGCCGCTCGGGAAAATGTCGAGCACGGTAGCCACCATATATCCGGCCGAACGGACGAAGGCCGCTCCCGGTTCCAGGTAGACGTCTAGTCCCCAATTGGATTGAAGCACCCGAATGGCTCTCTGTAGCGGCTCAATATCCACATCCTCATTGAAGAGGTATCCTCCACCCAAATTGAACCACCTGAGGCGTGCCAAGAATTGGGGAACCTTCTCTTCAAGCAAGGCCACGGTTTCTTCAAGTTCTCCAAATTTGGTAGATTCGCAATTGGAATGAATCAGCGCACCGTCTATCCCATTCAAGAAAGCCTTGTCGTTCCCCAGATTATTGGCTAAGGATTCCAATGCTATCCCCAGCTTGGAACCTTCACGGCAGGGGTCATACCTTTCATCATCAAGAAAGGAGAGCCCAGGATTAACTCTCAAGCCGCAACTTGTCCGCCCAACAAACTTTCCACTGTGCCGTTCCCATTGGGACAAGCTATTGAAGGCAACGTAGTCACAGAGTGAGGCCAGTTCTTCGGCCTCCCCCGGGCGGATGCCAGGACTGGTGAAGTGTATTCGCCCCCGGTCACCCAAAATGGAGCGGGCCAATTGCGCCTCGAATGGGGAGCTGACAGCGAATCCGTCCACTTTCGGGACCATCAATTCCAGCAATGGAGGAAAGCACAGGGGCTTAATGGAATAGAGGACGTGACAACCGGTGGTGCGACGTAATGATTTGGCAATATCCAACACTCTGCCAACTTCCATCTCGTCATACACGAAGGCAGGCGTCTCTACAGAGTCAAACAAGCTGGTAAATTGCATCGGTCACAGGTTTGGTAGCCCCCGCCACCCGAGCTCAACTCGTACAGTGTGGGAAGCGGGGGCCAGACTTGGCAAAGGTTAGCGCATGGGAGAGAAGGAAGCGGGGATTAGTATCTTGTTTTCCTGCCGGATTCGGCCCGGGGCTCCCGAGGGCCAATTGGGAGTCCCGCTGGAGGCCTTGCGGATCTCGTTCCGGTGGTTCAAGTCCTTGTAAGGCCAGATGTGCATCCAGCGGTTTAACGCGCCCAGTTCAGTATGCATGGCCGCGACGCAGGGCGAGAACTGTTCGCGCCACGGGAGAGCCTTTTCCCACCTACTCAGAAGTTCGGGGATAGAGCCGGGCTTGTAGGTGTAAATCCGCATCTCGTAGACATCGCCCAGTTCCTGACCGCCGCCCAAAGGTCGCATGAAGGGCGCTGGATTCCAGATTTCAGACTCCATATTCATTATCATGCTGGTATCCCGGGGTGGCCAGTTGGGGTCTTTGGTGGCCTCTGCCCGAATTTTTCCCCTTTCCAGCAGGTCCTCATATCCCCAAACGTGGACTACCTGATTGAGGACACCGATGTCGGAGTGCCAGAAAGCAGCCAGGGGTGAATACTTTTCACGGTGTGGCAATGCCTCGGCAAAACTCTCTTCAAACTGGGGAACTGTTCCGGGTTCCAGGGTATAGGTCCTGACTTCGTAGATCATAGTTGCTCCTCAAAGCAAGAGATTTAGCGCAATGGCGATTAGTTGCATTGCCGGTACTCTCGGTGTCCTTTGGGGTTAACCAATTCCGGTTCACCGGCTATAAACCCTTCCATTGGCGCCGACCGCTCACCCTCACAAAGTGCCCGAATCCCGGAGCGGGGAAGTGTCCCGCAGACACCAGAATCCCTTCCGATTCCAGCATATCAAGCACGGCGTGGCGGGTTGTGCGGGCCAAATCCGGCTGATCGTCGAAACTAGGGCTCCAGTCGGTGTAATGGGCCTGGGCTGGCGTGTGGGCAACGTCTCCAAGAATATAACCCCGTTCGCCCTGGGATGCAACGACGATGGAGACGTGACCTGGCGTATGCCCCGGGGTGGCAACCGTAGTGACTTCGTCGGTAATGCGATATTCACTCGCTATCAGGTCCATTATCCTCAATTCTTCCAGTGGCATTATCTGTTCGGTAATGTGCGGTTCATTAACCAATACAGATTCCTTGGTCCAGTGGTTCCAGTCTTCTTGGGGAATCAGGTAGCGAGCGTTGGGAAAGGTGGGTTGGCCGTCTATCAGGTTCCAGCCAACGTGGTCGGGGTGCAAATGAGTAAATACCACCAGATCTACGGCGTTCCGGTCCACGCCCTTGCTCTCCATGTCCTGCAGCAGGGCCCCGTCCGGTTCATGCAAACCTGTGTCCACGATGATTAGTTTGCCTCCCGAGCGAATGGCCGTGACGCCGTAACGACTGTGAATCTGCTCGTCATCGTCCAGTAGTCCGGGAAACTCACGCCACAGTTCGATTGGAATATGGGGGAACGGATCAAAGGGCGACCAGATCGGCTCACCGTCACTGAGGGAAACCAGTTCTACGTTCCCAATACTGATTGAGTAGTCGGGCATTCATTGCCTCCAGTTTGTGTGGACGTATAAAGAGGACAGTCATTTACAACTGCTGCCACCTCTAAATAGAGGATATGCGACAAACTGCCCTTATTCGGGCGTATAAATTTTGGAAGCTTGGTCGCTATTGAATTGGGACCTATAGTAAGCACGATTCTCTTGCCAGGCAATCAATGGCAGTCAGATACCAGGATCCCCTCCCTGCTATACTGCAACAAAGGTAATTGGAGGTCCAGCGCTATGCCAGCTCGTACTGGGGAGCAATACTTGCAAGGGTTGAAGGAGCGACCGCCGGAAGTTTGGGTTGGAGGGGAACGCGTTAAGGATGTGACGACTCATCCCGGCTTTGCCAACGGGGCTCGGTCGGTTGCAGACCTGTACGACATGCAGCACGAGAAAGACTTAGTCTATGAAATGACCTACAGGTCTCCTACTTCGGGCGACCGAGTGGGTATGTCCTTCCTGATGCCCCAGGGCTTGGAAGACCTGGAACGCCGCCGGCGGATGTTTTATCGTTGGGCCTCCTTTCATGGCGGCATGATGGGCCGAACTCCCGACTACATGAACGCAGCATTCGTGGCAATGGCCTCCGCCGCACCCTACTTTGACCAGGACCGGGAGGGGTTCGGCGAAAACGTGCGGCGCTATTACGAACATATACGGGAGCAGGACCTCTGCCTGACCCATACCCTGGTCAACCCTCAGCGTTCTCGTTCTCCCCAGCGTTACATTACCGATTCGCTGGCCGAGGACGTGGCTCTCAAGGTTATCAAGGAGACCGACGCAGGCATCCTGGTGCGCGGAGCGAGGGTTCTTGCGACACTTGGGCCGCTCTCCGATGAGATAGCCGTTTACCCTTCCCGGTCACACCATACCGCGGATAACGCCCACCAATATGCGGTTTCTTTTTCCATTCCCAGCGACACCCCTGGTCTGCGTTACATTTGCCGGGAGAGTTTCGACTACGGCCGGACTCCCTTCGACCACCCCCTGGGAGCGCGTTTCGAGGAGATGGACGCAGTAGCAATTTTCGACAATGTCCTGGTGCCTTGGGAGCGGGTATTCCTGCTTGGCAACGTGGAATCCTGCAACAACATGACCACTCGCACCGGCTGGATATTACACAGCTTCCACCAGGTAGTGACCCGGATCGTAGCCAAGACGGAGTTCCTGCTGGGCGCGGCATCCCTGATGGTGGAAACCCTGGGTTCCGGCGAACAGCCCCACGTTCAAGAGCGCATTGCTGAAATGATTATGAACCTGGAAGTCATCAAGGCGCTGCTTCGCACTGCCGAGGTCGACGCCGCCCCGGACGAGTGGGGGCTGTTTACCCCGGCCCGATTCCCGTTAACGGTGGCAGAAAACATGTATGCCCGCAGTTTCTACCCGCGAATGGTGGAGATCATGCAACTCCTGGGATCCAGCAGCCTAATGGCACTGCCCAGCCAGGCCGACTTTGATTCCGAGATTGCTCCGGACCTGGAGCATTACCTAGCCACCGACTCTGCCTCGGCTGTGGACCGGACCAAACTGTTCCACTTGGCCTGGGACATCTCTTGCAGCGCTTTCGGCTCTAGGAGCTTGCACTACGAACGTTTCTTTGCCGGCGATTTGGTGCGTAACGCCCAAATAATGTACGCCACCTACGACAGGTCGCCAATGATGGAAGCGGTAAGGAGGTTCCTGGAACGGGATTGATCATCGCTTGTCTGGGTTTCCGTCGGCGATTAGCTCTTTGGCCGCCAGGAATATGTCATCAAGCATCTGCAGGGTGAGTTTCCCGGTCTGAGTGTTTTGCCTACTTGGATGATAGGAACTCAGCAAGGTTACCCCTCCGTCCAACAGACAGGTGTTTCCGTGTCCAAAGGTTGGCCGTGGCTTCGGGTTGGTCAGGCCCGCCGCTGATCGGGTTTGCAGGTAAGCGTCGAAAGCGAACTTGCCCAGAGGTATTACGACCCTTACCTCCTGCATCAATTCCAATTCCTTGACCAGGAATGGACGGCAGGCCAACTTCTCGTCCGGATTGGGCTTGTTGTCCGGCGGGGCACATCGCACGGCATTAGTGATGTACACATCGTTTAAACTAAGGCCGTCATTGGACGATGTGGACGTCGGCTGACTTGCAAACCCTGCTCGATGAAGTGCCCCAAACAACCAATCGCCGCTGGGGTCTCCTGTAAAAGATCGACCTGTGCGATTCCCGCCGTGGGCTGCCGGCGCAAGCCCCAATATCAGGATTTTCGCATCGGGGTCACCAAAGGGCGGCACGGGCTTACCCCAATAATCTTCCTCACGGTGCCTGGCAACCTTGACGTGAGCTATATGTTCCCGGTGGGCTACCAGCCGGGGGCAGTGGCAACAACCGACGATGCAGTCGCGGAGTTGGGGGAGGGAGTCAATGCCATTCAATTGGCAGCACCGGTCCAGAAAGGCTGGAAGTCAAACGACCGCAAGCAGGGCTAGGGAGCTACCCAGTCAAAGTGGGGCATTACCTGCTCAGCGAAGAGCTGCAAGGAGTTAAGCGTCTGTTCGGCGGAAAGGGTGCCAAAGAAAAAAGAACCCACGAAGTAATTGGACCCCGTAATGCTGAGATGATCTCTGAGGGTATTTGTCGCAGTCTCTGGCGATCCTACGATGTGCAGTCCATCAGCCATGCGCCCCTCAAAGTCGGCAAGGAAATTGGTGCGGCCAGTGTCATCCCCGTTCAAAATACGCAAGTGGTTGAAGTTGGCAATGAAGTCCGAGAAGGCTTCTTTGGCCTCTTTTAGCGCTTGACCGTCAGTCTCTGCCACGTAAATGTGGCGGGTGACCCCGTATTTGGGATCTGGCTCGTGGGCGTTCAAGCGATCAGGACGATCCAGGTTTTCGGCCCAAACCGATTTGTACAGGTCGATATGCTCTCGCATGGTTTCCATGGGAGGATAATGAGTCACCGTACTTATTCCCTCGCTGGCAATCCATCTTATCGAGTCCGGGTTGGCCGTCGGATACCAAAGAGGGGGATAGGGCCGCTGCCAGGGTTGAATGGGCAGGGTAACGTCCCTGAAAGTGTAGTGCTCACCTTCATAGGAAATTTTTCCCTCTTTAAGCCCCATTATTACGATGTCCAAGGCCTCCCGGAACATGTCCCGTGAGTCGTCCACGTTGATATCAAAAAAGTCCAGTTCATAAGCGGAGATACCCCTTCCCACGCCCACTTCAAGCCTGCCTCTGCTTAGCTGGTCCAACATGCAAATTTCTTCCACGAGTCGAAGTGGATTGTAAAACGGCAGCGGATAAACGAGAGGGCCAAACCTGATGTTCTTTGTGCGTTGTGCAATGGCAGACAGAAAAACGCTGGGGGAAGGAGCCATTCCCAATGGTGTGCCCTGATGCTCTGCCATATGGTAGCAATAGAAGCCGGCCGAGTCCGCATACTCTATGAATTTAAGCCGCTCCTCGTAGAGATCGGCAACTGAGGCACCGTTGGCATCTATCCAGTCAAAAATGCCAAAACGCACCGGGCCGTTGGCGGAATTGGCTGGCACACTGTCTTGCAACTGCTACCTTCCTTCAGGACCGTCTTCGCCTTATCCTCTACGCTATTCGAAGGGCGTGGGCATAGCCTGCACCGGCACTTCAATCAATGTGGGAGCGTCGACGGCGAGAGCCTCCGCCAGCGCACCCTCCAACTGGTCAATGCCAGCCCTTACTCCTCGTGCGCCGTAGGCTTCCGCCAACTTCACAAAGTCCGGGTTGTGCAGCGCCGCCCCGTAAACCCTTCCCTCAAAACGATTGACCTGATCCCGCAAGACATTTCCGTAGGCGTTGTCGTTGAAAACAATAACGACGGCGTTTATCCCGTACTGCACTGCCGTCGCCAACTCCTGGGAGTTGAAAAGGAAGCCGCCATCACCAGAAACTGCGACCACCGCCTTATCGGGTTGGGCAACCTTGGCTCCCAGCGCCACCGGATAGGCGTAACCTAAATTACCAGCGTAGGACGAAGTGAGGAAGGTGCGCGGCTCATATACGGGAAAGAAGGCTCGGCTGTAATACCCGATCTGAGTCATGCCGGAGATGAGAATTCCGTCTTCCGGCATTACGTTTCTAATGGTCGCCACAATGGAGTCCTGGGGTTCCACGCGTATTGCAGTTTCAGACCGGCGCTGGCGCAGAGCATTGAATTCTTCCTCGCGGCTTTCCCGGGCTGGGCTTAGCTGCACAAGGTTTTCGTACAAGCTTTCCAGGGTCTGGCGGGCGTCACCGTGGATGCCAAAGGTGTTTTCGTAGTTTCGGCCTAGCTCGGCCTCATCAATATCAACTTGTACGACTCGCTGCCCACCTAGCCAGACCGGGTTGGCCATCCTGGTGCCCACGGCCAGTATAGTGTCAAAGTGCGGTTCTTCCTTTGCCACAGGATCGTTACGCAACCGGTGGGAGCCCAAGGCCAGGGGATGGCGTTCGGAAATTGCCCCTTTACCCTCGGGGGTGGTAATTATCGGGGCCTGCAGGTGTTCAGCCACACGAAGGAGTGCTTCCTGGGCGCGGGATGAAATTATCCCACCGCCGGCCCAAATGAGCGGATTGGCCGCCTCGTTTAACATCTGTGCCCCGGCACGAATTCTCTCTGTCTCTGCAACCGGTTTGGGATATTCCTCGGGTTCACGCAAGTCTACGTCGGCGACTTCTGCCAAGGTTTCAGGGGGAATCTCAATCTCGACAGGTCTGGGGCCGCCCGGTCTTGAGGTGATAAAAAGCCTCGTGGACCGCGTCGGGAATCTCCGCCGGATCCAAAATGCGCTTTGCCCACTTAGTTACCGGACGGATGGTATCCAACTGGTCATTAACTTCGTGAAGGATACCCCGGTCCGAACCTATCAAGTCACGTTCAATCTGGCCGGACACGACCAGGATGGGAGAAGAAGCAGCGAAGGCGGTGCCAATGCCAGCCGAGGCGTTCTGCAGGCCGGGTCCCGGGACCATCATCGCCGTGCCTATGCCACCACCCGCGCGAGCGTATCCGTCAGCCATGTAGGTTGTTGCCTGCTCATGGCGAGTGGTAATGAAACGGATGCCAGGCTCACCCTGCAGGCCGTCAAGGGCATGGTACAACTGAACGCCCGGCAGGCCGAAGATAACCCTGACTCCTTCAAGATACAAGGACTTGGCCAGCGCCTGGCCTCCGGTCATTTCAGGCATACTTACCACCTTTTATTGCTGCTGGCGTAATGACGGGCGTTCTATTCCTAACTCCAGACCCGTCATTTAGCTACGTCTTTAGTGTACCGGATTGTAGTTGCGCTGCCAGGTAGCGTCAAGCTGAACAAAGCCGGAAGAGAAATTTCAACCACTTCCAACCAGGTGCGGAGAGGGAGGTTCAGCAATGGATTTGCTCAGGCCAGGCGGTGTCAGCGTGAGGCGCCAAGACTTCAGCAATGATGCACGGAATTGGTTAGGCTTTCCTTGCTCATGGTGTGAATCCATAGACGGACTAGCTCCCCTTTGCTAAACTTATCGACAATCTTAATATCAGCAAGAAATTCAAGAGTTTGACTGAGAGGCGCGCCAATGAAAAAGGTGGTCAGCGAGATAAACGGAGCCATTTTCAGTTTGCCCTGGCTCGTTGCTAAGGACGAGGGACTGTTTGAAGCGGAAGGCATTGACATGGAGTTTGTTACCGCCATAAGCAGCGGCCATGTAGCCCACACGGAAAACCCTGAAGAAGTTAACCCAGTACTGGGTCACGTAGCGTTCGAGGACGCCAAAGTATCCATATACCGCGCTTGAGAAGAGGGTCAGGTCCGTCGGGCCTATGAAAGCAAACAGGGAGCCAAGATAATCGCCCTTCGCTCCGCGGTAGCCAGCCAGGCCATTTTGGTTCGCGGGGATTCCCCTCACTACTATCCTGGCACATTAGGCAATCAACCTGTGGCGGTGCAGTTCCACGCCGGTTCGCATTACGTCGCGTTGCGGCTCTTGTCCGGTTATCTGCCGGAGGAAAAGCTAAAGCTCGTTCACTACGGCTCTCCCCAGTACCGGTTTGAAGCGCTGATGAACGGGGAAGTAGCCGCTGCCACGTTGATGGAACCCTGGATAACCCTGGCGGAGAAACTTGGTTGCCGCCCAGTATGCGAGGGACACTATCTGGGAGCTGAAAACGCCAGCGACAACATGGACGAGGAAACCTTTACCGCCATAAACCGAGCGGTGGTGAAGGCGGTGGACATAATCAACGAGGACAAGCGGAAGTACCTCCATTACCTGATCGACGAGCCCAGGTTTGCCTCTGTGGCAATTAAGTATGGCAGCATCACTCCTGAGGATTTCCACCTTTCCAGGATTCGCTATTCTTACAACACCCCCTATAATGACGAAATAGTTGAGGACACCTACCACTGGATGGTCAAGTGGGGCCTGCTCGATGGTGCGGCTTGCAGAGCTGAACTGGTGGACAATCGTATTGCGGAGACCCGCTCCCGCGGATGATTAGCCAGACTCGCTAGTTTGATTCAAGAACCGACGCCGGCCAGGGAAGACCTTTGGTCGGCGTTGTTTAGCATTTAAGTCCAGGAACAGTTTGAGCATCGCCGCTGGCGGCAAGAAGCAGACACGGCATAGGAGTGGCCCTCAAGGAGACTTTCTTTTTGAGGGCCTTGGCAGGAAGTTATGAAGTATGACTACGTCATAGTTGGAGCAGGTTCCGCAGGTTCGGTACTGGCCTGCCGGCTTTCGGAAGACCCTAACTGTTCGGTGCTGCTGTTGGAGGCCGGACCCGACTACCCCGACTTCGAGAAACTCCCTGACGAACTTAAGTATGGCTTCAGCGCAGCCCCGTCCCCGCCCAGGTCCCGGACTGCCAGCGGACACCCATCCTGGCTTCCAACCAATCCGCATAATTGGCAGTTCACGGCCACAGCGACCAACCTGGCGCCACCAATGCAGGTTCCGAGAGGCAAGGTAACGGGCGGTTCCAGTGCCATAAACTCGTCTGCTTTTTACCGGGGAACGGCTGAAGATTTTGATGCCTGGGCTGCCTGCGGAAACGATTCCTGGAGCTACGAGAAGGTATTGCCTTTCTTCCGCCGCCTGGAGACTGATGCTGACCATCATGACGACTTTCATGGAACCGAGGGCCCGATTTTCGTCCACCACTCTGACCCTGGCTCATGGCATGAAACCCAACGGGCCTTTTGCGATGCCTGCGTTTCCAGCGGCTTTCAGGAAACTGAAGACCACAATCACCCGGATTCTGGAGGCGTAGGGCCAGGCATTACTAATAACCATCAGGGTATAAGGTTTAGCACGGCTCTTGGTTATCTCGAATTGGCCCGGCACAGGCTTAACCTTACAATCAAGCCGGATTGCCACGTGAAGCGGATCACCTTTGAAGGGAACCGGGCCAAGGGCCTAATTGTCGAGTCCGGCGGTGAGGCGTTTGCCGTTGAAGGGGAGGAGATCATCCTTAGCGCCGGCGCCGTGGGTTCCCCCCATTTATTGCTTCTGTCAGGCGTGGGACCTGCGGACCACCTTGGTGACCTGGGTATTTCAGTGGTGCATGATGCACCGGGGGTGGGCCGAAACCTGAAAGACCACCCCAAGATTTACGTAACGTGGAGCCTTCCAGAAGGTTACCCAGTCCAAAGTCGGTCCGCTCCTGGCGGGGCGGCTCTGCGGTTTACCGCGCCCGGCTCTGACCTGAGAAATGACTTGGGCATAAGTCTGTCGTGCTTTGTGCCACCAAGAAGGCACGTCATCGAAGAACCTCCCCAGAATGTCGATGACGTTCTGCGAGTCACCGAGATGATGATAACCCTGCTCCTGCCCACCAGCCAGGGGGAGTTGAAACTTACGTCTCCCGATTACCGGGTGCAGCCGGCAATGAATTACAATTACTTTGCGGAACCATTTGACCGGGAGAGATGCGGGCAGGTGTTCGGTTGGCTCTGGAGTTGGCAGACCGTCCCGAACTGGTCGGGTTCATTGGGGAGCGCCTGGCTCCTTCCGATGAAGACCTGTCCACGGAAGACGCCTTTGACAACTGGCTGCTTAAGGAAGCCACCACCTATTCTCACATTTCCTGCGCCTGCCGCATGGGCCCATCCGACGATCCCATGGCAGTCGTAGACCAGTTCGGAAGGGCTCACGGGCTGGAAGGCTTGAGGATTGTTGACGCCTCAATAATGCCAGACCTGGTTCGAGCGCCAATCAATCCCGCAGTCATAATGTTGGCCGAAAAGATTTCTGACGATATAAAGCTGGGACGTTAGTTACCTGTCATTGGTCAGCCTTGCTTACGATAGTTGTGCTCTCATCCTGCTATAATTGGTGCGAAAGGCCGCTGCCTTCAATGCAAGGCACGCCTCAACTGGACACGAAATTTAGGGAGGAACTCTGAATGGCAGACGAGTTATTAGTCCTCCACGAAAAACCCGAAGCAAAATACTTGATCGCTGGTTGGCGCCGGCAGTGGTCAAACGGGGGCAGGATTTCCAGTGGACTACCCCGATACCTGATCGAAAAATTGGGCGCCCGTCGCATTGGGCGACTGGGCGACAGAGTATCCGAAATGTGCTTCCCCTTCCAGGTCGCCGGCACCCATGATACCTTTCGTCCGGCCGCCGCGTTTCAGGAAGGACTTCCCTCAAGTCCAATGGCCCGGGAGAACGACTTCTACGATGCTGGAAACGGGCTCATCATATTTCTTGGTGAAGAACCCTGGAGCAGAATTGACATTTATGGTGAAGGTTTTTTCCAGGCAGTCCACGACTTGGGAATTGAACAAACGGTGGCAGTGGAAGGCGTGAACGGCCCGGCGCCGCCGGAATTGGAACGCCGCATAAACTGCGTGTACAGTCGAGCGGACATGAAGGAAAACCTGGAGAGGTACAGCGTAATAATGTCCAGCCGCGGTACCGAAGGGCGTAGGGGGCCAACCATCGGAATGGCCATGGTGTCGCTGGCTCACTTCGAGTACCCTGATGTTCAGATGTTCCGCCTGGGGGCGATGGCCCCTATGTACCCGTTCGTAGTTTCCAACAACGAACAGATGGGCATTTTCCGCGACCACCGCTCTTTCTACGACATCATGCGCAGATTGAAGTCCATGTTCAAACTGGACATTGACCTGAGCGAACTGCTGGCCCTGGGAGAAACAGAATCGAGGGAGTTGCAGTCAAGCCTGGACAGGATCGCGGAGAACAACGCCGATGCAAAGCGCATCATCGAGCAAGTACGTTCCGACTATAACGTAACGCCTTACGTGGAACCGGTTAACCTGGGCCCTGCCCTGGACCGTACCCTGGAAGACATTCTCATGGGCATGTCTGACCCGCCTGAAGGGCAGTAGTTAACAGGACTCCGGGCAGTGGGCAATATAATCAGGGCGGGTTAGAAAACCCGCCCTGAACTCTTGGCAGTACGTTGTCCCTGGCTGACGAGGACTATTGGGCGTGGGCCGCAGGCATGGCGGGCCGGTTGCGGTGGGACTGGGCGTCCCTGGTGCTGGGCAACGGACCGGTTGCGGTGTAATATTTCACTCCCGCGACCATCAGATCCTCGGCTGGGAACCGGGTTATTACCTGCGGCCCATCAGCAGTTACCACTACCTCTTCCTCAATTCTAGCCGCCGACCAACCATCGGAAGCCGGCCAAAAGGCCTCCAGGGCAAATACCATCCCTTCTTCAATTGGTTGCGGGTGCTCAAGGGAGAACAGGCGGCTGAAGATGGGCGCTTCCCAGATGTTCAGTCCGACGCCGTGGCCGTACTGCAGGGCAAATGCCGCCTCTTCATTGGCAAATCCAAATTCCTCAGCTTTGGGCCAATGCTGGACAATATCGGCCGTAGTGATGCCGGGCTTCACGGCGTCTATGGAAACATCGAGAATCTCGCGGCACTTTTTGTAGGCATCTATCTGTGATTGGGAAGCGCTTCCAATGGCAAGAGTCCGGTAATAGCAGGTGCGGTACCCCATGTAGCTGTGAAGGATGTCAAAGTAGACTTGGTCACCCGGGCGCAGAATCCGGTCTGAGAAAAGGTGGGGATGGGGACTAGTTCGCTCGCCACCAATGGCATTCACTCCCTCAACGAATTCCGATCCTAGCTCATAAAGGACCTTGTTGACCAGGGCCACGCCATCGTTTTCCCGTATTCCGGCCCGTAATTCCTGGTATAGAACGTCATAAGCCGCGTCCACCATGGCGCAGGCGGTGTTGAGGAGTGTTATCTCGTCCTGTGTCTTGATGCGACGGGCTTCCAGCATCAACTGCTGCCCATCCACTATGTTCAATCCTTCTTTCTGTAAAGCGAACAGCACTACAGGCTCGACCACATCGACCCCGATGGGCTCATTTTGAAGGCCCCGAAGCTCCAACTCAGCGCGAATTTTCTTTGCCACGTCTTCCGCCAGGTTAGCCGAAGGGGGTGTAGCTCCCCGCAGCGTGGAAATGCCTGCGCGGGACCGCTCGCCCAACCAGGGACAGTAGAGCTGGTGGTGCCGGGCAGCCGACCCAAAGTCCCACAGAATGGGCTCGTCGTCCTGGGGCAACAGACAGTAGCGTACCAGCTTGTCCAGTGCCCAAGTACCTATGATGGTCGCCGTGAGATACCTGATGTTGTTCATGTCGAAAGAAAGGATGGCGCCCAACTCTGAATTCTTAAGCAGCCCCTTGATTCGGTTGAGACGCTGGGTGCGCAGTCGTTCAAAATCTACGCGCTCCTCCCAGTCCACATTCATAGTTCCGAAGCTCTTGATCTGAGTCATGGCTGTCACCTTTCCCCTTTCTTAAAGCTGCCTGCAGTCACTGGATGCTCCGATGCCTGTGAACTTGCGGCAGTTTAGTTGGGAGATAGTACACTGTCAACCGGATTTTAACGTGAGGCAGTCTGGTCAACTATAATACGACGCGGCGAGGCCACAGAGGCCACGAACCCAATGTCAAACCCCCAAGCCAATGTAAAACAGGAGGAGCCAATCTTGTCTAGCAGAATTGAAGTTATTCACACCGCCGAAAGGGACCCTTCGGTGAACCTGCCCTACGCCCCAGCCGTCAAGGTAACCGGCGGCTCCTGTTGTTCCTGGCTGGCGTTAACGCTGCCAAGGTCTACCACAGTCACCCACATATCGAATCCGAATTCGACGACATTCCATGGACATGGCGGGCCAGACCCGGATGGCGCTGGAAAACGTGAAGAAGGGTCTCGAAGCCTGTGGAGCAACCTTCAGCGACGTGGTGCAAGTTACGAGGTATCTGACTGATGTGGACGAGCAGGACCAGATGAATGAGGTGTGGTGGGAATACTTTGGCGACCACCGGCCCGGTACCGCTACTATTGGTGTCACCCGTCTGGCCACCCACGATAAGCTCAAGGTTGAGTTGGCAGCCATTGCAGTAGTTGACTAGACATGCTCCAACCTGTGCAACGAGTCTGACTCGGGAATTCTACCGCTGCAGAGTTGGGGGAGGCAGGGACAGCGTACAATCAAGAGAAACTGTGCAAGACCCGGCTTTCCAGCCGGACTAGAAGTCTTCTGACTGGTGCACGATATTGCCCCCAACCATGGTCAATTTCGAGCCTAGTTCAGGGATATCTCCCTCTGCCATACCCAAGAGATCGTTGGTAAGGACTGCCAGGTCTGCCAGTTTCCCTGGCTCCAGGGAGCCGCGCCTGCTCTCATCAAATGAGAACCGGGCGCCGCCTACGGTAAATGCCCGCAGGGCCTCCAGTCGTGTCAGGCACTGGTCCGGTCCCAGGACTTGGCCGGTAACTCTCTCCTGGCGAGCCACTGCAGCCCAAAGGGTAGCAAACGGATTGTAGGGCTTGTTGTCGGTGCCAAAGCTGAAGTCTACTCCCCGTTCCAGGTAACGCCGGTGCGCCACGGCCCCGTTTGCCAGGTCGGGATCGCTCAGGTATGGAGTGCCTCTAAGCCACAACTCTGTCAAGGGAATGGTCTCTACCAGCAGCCCCAGGTTCTTAATACGTTCTAATTGTTCGTCCGAAGTTTGCAGGACGTGGGCCAAGGTCCATCGCCGCCCGTTCAGCGGAATTTCTCGGTTGATTTCTTCGAAAACGTTGAGAACTTCCTCCAGGGGCTCCCTCACCAGGGTGTTTACCCTCAAATTGTGCTGAGCCGCCAGCTTTGCCGCCTTTGAGAAAAAATCGGGAGAGTGGTAGCTCTGAATAAATCCGGCCCAGCCGGTGAAGGGCAGAAAGCGAGGCCCGAGCTTCCGCAGTGTAACGATTCCCGCCATATTGAATAAAATAGCCACTGACGCGCAAGAAGTCGTCGCCAAAACCGGGCCCTGAAAATGAATGCCCCCAGCTCTCCATCTCCGTGGCTGCTTGCTCCACGGATTGCCAGTTCGGGCTTACTGTCAGGTTCGCCCTTACCGTCATCTCCCCCGCATCCCACACCGTTTTGTATGCCTGCATTACTTCCGGCGCCACGCCGTGACCCTCGTAGGAACCTGTAGTGCCCACCGAGTTGTAGAGGCCCATGGACTCTTTCAATGCTGCGACCCGTTGGGCTGGCGTGAAACGGGGGACTGCCTTCATTAGTGTAAATTCCACCGAAGGATAGCGGCCGGTGTCGATGAAAATGCCCGTGGGGATCCCCGTTTTGGTCTCTTTTCGATGGTGACGCTGGAATCTGGAGAAGTCGTATCTCGGTCAATCCCTGCCCGTTGCAGGGCGGCGCTGTTGGCTATCGATACGGAAGGAGGTACATTCCAGGGTGTCCAGATTCCCTTAATATAGACCGGGTTGTCGGCTGATACTTTGTCCAGATCCCAGCGGTTGGGAAACCTGACCCTCGTCCAAAGACTGAGGCATATCTGCGTAGTTTGGCGGGTCTCCGATGGGCATGGTAACAACCCACTCTCCCGGTTTTGCCTTGCTAGTTAACTTCTCGATCTGTCTGAGAATATCTTCTATCGACCTTAGTCCCTCGAGGGTGGGATAGATAGATTTCAGCCCCTCCCTGTCCAGGTGGGCGTGGATGTCCACTATGCCGGGAATCACGGTATGGCCGCGCAAGTCGATTTGCCTGGTGTTGGACCCCGCCATTGCCATTACATCCGAATTGCTCCCAACGCCAAAAATACGATCGCCTTTGATGGCTATTGCTTGTTGCAAAGAATCATGCCGATCAATGGTTATAACTTTGCCATTGTGAAGAATCGTATCCGCGTTGCCCGCCAATTCTCTGCTCATCCTATGTCCCCTCACAAGAATCTGTGGTTGAATTCTCTAGTATTCCTTCCGAGTTTAGTCGCTAATCCGTAGGCATTTGCTCCCAGTGACAACAAGAATATACACCAACCCTTCAATTGACACCCGGACATCGCCCATTTAGAATTTGCTGCAATATGTAGCCTTAGTTACGTTGGAGGAATGCCATGACTCAGCTACTTGGAAGAGTCAGTCCTGAAGAGGAAAACCAATTTTACGAAGGAACTGAAGCCGCCGGCCTGCGCGCCGCCTGGATGGGCCGAAGGCTGGAACGAAAGCCCCAGGTAGAACCATTTGCCTGGCGTTGGTCCAACGCAAAGCCTTTGGTTCTACGCAGTGGCGACATAGTAACTCCCGACCGAGACGTTGAACGCCGTGTCCTGCGCCTCGCCAATCCCGGCCTGGACCATGGGACCACGCACACTATCTCGGCTGCCCTGCAGTTGCTGCTACCTGGCGAGAATGCTCCGGCCCACCGCCATACTCCTACTGCAATTCGCTGGGTGCTGCAAGGCACCGGCGCCTATACCACGGTGGAAGGCGACAAGTGCTACATGGAGCCCGGGGACTTGGTGTTAACGCCTTCCTGGACTTGGCACGACCATAACAACGAAGGCACCGAACCCATGATCTGGCTGGATGGGTTGGACACTCCCCTGGTCAACAATCTTGAAGCAACTTTCTACGAACAGTTTCCCGAAGACCAGCAACCAATAGTTGGCGTCGGTGAATCGGAACGCAAATATGCTTCAGGCGCCCTGCGCCCCGCGTGGGAAGACAGCAACACGCCGTATTCCCCTCTCTGGCATTACAAGTGGGAACGAAGCCACGCCGCGTTGCACAGCCTCGCAGAAGTTGACTGCAGCCCCTTTGACGATGTGGCGATGGAGTTCTCGGACCCGGCAACCGGCGGCCCTGTATTGACGAACCATGGCCTGCTGGATTCAGATGATCAGGCCCGGGGTGAACACCAAGGCCCACCGCCACACGACCAGCGCGGTGTACCAGGTTTTCAAGGGCAAGGGACATAGCGTCATTAACGGCCAGCGCTTTGATTGGGGTGAAGGCGATTTCCTAGTAGTGCCCTCCTGGTCCTGGCACGAGCACGCCAACGACACCGACGAAGAGGCCATACTCTTCTCAATTCAGGACATTCCAGTTATGAAGGCTTTGTCCTTGTACCGGGAAGAGCCCCTATGCGGAAAATGCCGGGCACCAACCGATTGAGTCCGTATTTGAGGGTTAGCCTGGCTCAGATCGGGACAAATAGATAGTGAACGGGGCGGGTTCGCAGCCCGCCCTTTCTATTGCCAATGCTGCAAGGCATAAGAAAAGGGCAGGTCGCAGCCCTGCCCCTCAAATTATCAGGTTAATTCTTGGCCGGTTAAGGCTTGAACAGGGCTACGCACTTGTTGGAGTTGAAGATGTACGTTTCTACGTAGTCGATAATTTCCGGTTTGTAGTCCAGTTCCTGCATGGCCCCGGCGATACACATCCAGTTCAGCAATTCCTGCTGTCCGGCGTCTTCAATCTGGTCCGTTGAAATACGGCTCCACGCTGCGTAGTCACCGTCGCGCAACTCCTCGAATCGAGCCCGGTCCGAGGGTCCGTCGGGATAGAGGCAGTGATTCTTGTCGGTCAGGAAAAGCATGAGACCAACTGGAAGATGCAATCAGCGCCACCCGATAGGGGCTTTCCTTCAGCACCCGAGCCACAGCGGCGCCCACTTCCATGCACCGCTTGGGTGAAGGACCGGGAGGATCGAATTCCTCCTCATACTGAACGGCACCGCCCCGGTTGCGCACGACTCGGCTTCCGTAGCAGTTCACAAGGAAAGGAACCACCGGATAGTCAAATCCCTTCCGGTCATAGTCCAGGTACAGAAGTGTGTTCAGAATGGCATGGCCCAGACCGCCCTTTTCGTGCAGCGGCTTGTAGGCATAGGACATATCAATGCCCTGCTCAATCATGCCGCGAACCATGGCCCGGGCGGCAGTGCGATGGCCGGAATACTTGAAAGTGGTATCTCCGGGTTCGTCCCAAACGTTGAGCCGTGTGCCACCATCCTGGGTCGCGAAGGGTTGGCATTCCATTTCGTCGTAGGCCATCACACAGAAGGGGAATGATGTCTTCTTTGAAATTCTCGTACTGGTCGTCGCCCCAAATCACTACAAAATCAGGGTTGAACGCATCCAACTCTTCTCTAAGCTTGCGAAAGCCGTTTACACAACCGCGCCCGTGCCTTCTTGGCAGATTCCAACCCTTCGTCTTCGCCGTACTCAATGCGCATCGGTTCCGGCCAGTTGGTGGGAATCTTCAGTTCCGGCGGAAGGTTGGGATTTCGCAAGCTCCTTGCGATGGAAAAGTCCTTTTCCTCGTCGGGCTTTATCAGGGAAGGGGAATGGGTAAGGCCCAGGCCCAGAATTTCTGCCATAATATCGCCTCCCACGAATGGATTAAGTGCATTTGGTTTGGCTAACTATACCCTTTTAAGGGGAGATTGTGTAGCCTGTTTGCTGGCTTGGCGGGAAGATTCTTGTGAAGTGACTAGAGCCAAAATCCCTCGTCCTAAACTGATCCCGCTCGCGACCTGTCTGCTTTGAGCTTCAACGGAAGACGACTCAGCAACTAAAGAGGACATTGAAGATTCCCGGCATACCACTTGCCAGCTACTGAAGCTAACATTATTATCCGACAAAGCAACGGACCCAAGCATAGAAGAGAGGTTCAGCCATGCCAAGAATGACGGGCGCCCGATTCCTCGTAGAAACCATGCGGGCCTACGGAGTAACTCACGCATTCTATATGCCAATGATCGTCACACGCGCGCTGGTGGAAATGGAACAAGTGGGAATAGCACGGATAATGACCCACAGCGAAAAGGCGGCGGCCTACATGGCCGATGGGTATGCCCGTGCCGCCAGGCGGCCGGCAGTGTGTATGGCCCAGAACGTTGGGGCCGCAAACCTCGCGGCTGGCTTGCAGGACCCTTTCTTGGGAGGCTCACCAGTGGTAGCACTGACAGGCAGGGGAGCGCCCCCTCAGCAAAATCGCAATTATTATCAGGAAGTGGACCACGTTCAGCCTTTCAATGCGGTTACCAAGTTCAACGCCCTGGTGGACAGCCCGGAAGAGCAACCCAGGTTGTTGCGGCAGGCCTTCCGCGAAGCAACTTCTGGCGCTCCCGGCCCCACACACCTGGACCTTCAGGGGTCTACGGGTGCGTTGATAATGGACGTGGAAGCGGACGTGGAGGTTGTCGTTGAAGCCCCTTTCACCCATGTACCGCCATTCCGGGGCGAGCCGGAAACTGAAATGGTACGGGATGCTGCCAGGGCTCTTACCGAGGCCCGCCGGCCGATTATAGTGGCGGGCGGCGGTGTTACGTCTTCGGGCGCCCAAGCCGAGGTGGTGGAACTGGCCGAGATGTTGTCGATTCCCGTGGCCACTTCTCTGAACGCCAAGGGAACCATTCCCGATGACCACCCCCTTTCAGTGGGTGTCTGCGGCACCTACTCCCGCTGGTGCGCCAACCGGGCGGTTTCCGAAGCCGACCTGGTGTTCTTCATCGGAAGCCACGCCGGGAGCCAGGTGACGACGGAATGGCAGATTCCCCGATCCGGCACCCCGGTTATTCAACTGGACATAGACCCAGGGGAATTGGGTCGCAGCTATACCATCCAGGTCGGGCTGCAGGGCGACGCCAAGGCATCACTCCGCAAGTTGATAGAGCACCTGGAACCGCTGGGAGGTCGCGCCGAATGGGTCGGGCGCGCCCAGGAACTGGTCCAGGAGTGGCGGGCAGAAGTGGCGCCGTTGGCTAATTCCGACTCCTCACCAATGCGCCCCGAGCGGCTCTGCAAGGAAATTACCGAATTCCTACCGGAGGATGCCGTGCTTCTCTCAGACACCGGCCATTCCGGAATCTGGACCGGTACAATGATTGACCTGTACAAACCGACTCAGACCTTTCTCCGTTGCGCCGGCTCCCTGGGCTGGGCTTTCCCCGCAGCATTGGGGGCCAAGTGTGCAGTCCCCGACCGTCCAGTGGTCTGTTTCACCGGAGACGGAGGATTCTGGTACCACCTCAGCGAGATGGAAACCGCCGTCCGCTACGGCATCAACACAGTAACCGTAATCAACAATAACCACTCCTTGAATCAGGAAAAGCGGGGCAACGAGCGGGCCTACGAGAGTGTAGGCGTAACAGGCAACGTGGACGAACTCTGGGTATTCCCGGACACCGACTTCGCAAAGCTTGCCGAGGACATGGGTGGGTTCGGAATCCGGGTGGAGCGTCCCGAAGACCTGCAAGATGCAATGAAAGAGGCGGCAGCATCCAACAAGCCTTCCGTCGTAGACGTGGTGACCGATATTGAAGGCATAGCGCCTCGCGCCTGGACAGGGTAGGGACCTGTTCTTACCTCTTTGAAAGGTGATTCAGGAGAGTGCCCCAATGACCGAGACACTGATAACCGATGAAGTTCGTGCCTTGGTCGGCACAGAGACCGAATCCGAGCGGAACCGGTTCCCCATCAGCGAGGAAATGGCTTTCGACGTGGCCGATGCCATTGAGGATGCCAATCCGTTGTACCAGGACGCCGTGCACGCCAGCAAGTCTCGGTTTGCCGGAATCCTGTGTCCTCCTCTGGCAACATGGAAGGATATCGGTCCCCCAATCGGTTACTTTGGGGCGGGCCAGGAATCCCATTTTCAGGTTCCGCTGCCGTTCAACAGTTACGGCCTTAACGGGGGCAGCGACTGGCAGTTTCTCAGGCCCGCTTATGCCGGCAACTGGATTACTCGACAATTCAAGATCCTGGATATATTCGAGAAACAAGGTCGGTCTGGTTTGCTGGTCTTCGTTGTGAGGCAGGAAACCCAGACCAACCAATTGGGACAGGTCATCAGCCTCGCCAAACGAGTCAGCATCCACCGCAGTCTTCCAGAACAGGCAGGGGTTGATACGGAGAGGCCAGGGGATGCGCCACAGTTACAGACTGTTCCGGTTGCCCCACCAGGCGCAGACTCGATTTTGCCCAAGCCCTCACCTGTTTCGATGGCCCAGCGCCACTTCGAGGACGTTTCGGTTGGTGATATTCTGCCACCTGTAGTTAAGGGGCCGATGACTACGTCCCACCTGGTGCGCTGGGCGGCGGCCAACGGCAACTACGCTCGTATTCACTGGGACCTTCCTTTCGCCCAGCTGGAACAAGGTTTGGCCAACGTGGTTGTCAACGGTTCGCTGAAGAACCAGTACCTGGGACAACTGATGATTGACTTTGCAGGCGAAAAGGTTGGTTCAAGCGTTTATTTGTGCAACACCGGGGAATGGATTATCCGGGCGATGTTTTGACTGCGTCGGGTGTTGTGATGGATAAGAGAGAAGTTGACGGATTCGGTTTAGTAGACTGTGCTGTGGAACTGAACAACAGCCGAGGCAATCAAACTGCCGCCGGACAGGCGACTATAGTTCTGCCCAAGCGAGGCCAATCCCTTCCCTTGATTTGGGAAGAGGAAGCCTGGTAGCAATGGACCTGCTATCGGGGGTACGGGTTTTGGAGTTGGGTGGCGACACTTCCGCTCCCTTTTGCGGGAAACTGCTTGCTCAATACGGTGCGGAAGTTATCAAGGTTGAGCCTCCCGGGACAGGAGAGGCAGCCCGTCGCAAGGGGCCCTTTGCCGGTGATGACCCCCATCCCGAGAAGAGCCTGCCGTTTCTCTACCTGAACGCTGGCAAGCTGGGCGTTAGCCTCGACATTTCCAACAGCACAGGGCGAACCATTCTTAATCGTTTGCTTGCCAGAGCTGACATCGTAGTCGAGAACTTTGCGCCTGCCACGTCAGTGGAGCATGGCCTGGACTATCCTGCTCTTTCAGCGATCGACCATGCGTTAATTGCGGTGTCCATCACCCCTTTCGGGCTCAGCGGACCTTACCGCGATTACCCGGCTACCGACATCGTAACCTTCGCCTACAGCGGCCATATGTACCATTCCGGCGACTCCGACCGGGAGCCGCTGCGAAATCGCGCTGGAGCAGTCCTGGTACGTGGCGGGAGTAAACGCCGCCACGGCAGCCATGGCCGCCCTCTTCCAGCGATTGACTACGGGGAAGGGCCAGCAGGTCGAAGTATCTACCATGGAATGTTTGGCAACCCATATGGTGCAGGCAGTGCCCTATTTCAACTACATGGGCGCAATCAAGGGACGTCGGCCGGTAAGGGGTTCAGGCTTTGAGGAGCTTATGCCGGCCCGAGACGGTTACGTGGTCCCTTCAGTGCAAGGCTCCCAGCCATGGTCGGTTGTCGCAGACCTGATCGGCTTGGAAGACCTCAATGACGAGAAATTCGTCAGCGGCTCGGGACGTATTGAACACGGTGAAGAGTTGAAGCAACTGTTGGTCAAAGGCCTTGCTAACTGGGACAGGAAACCCCTGTTCGAAGCTTCTGGTGAGCGGCGGTTGGTATTTGGAATGGCCCAGGATGCCGGCGACATCTACGATTGCCAGCATTTGGAGGCACGGGACTTTTTCGTCGAAGTTGACCATCCCGAAGCGGGCGCTGCTTTGTATCCCGGTTTGGGGCCCCGTCTATCTGTCAGGAACCCGCGCAGTCACCTGCCCTGCACCTCTCCTGGGCCAACACAACTGGGAAGTCTTTGGCAATCGTCTGGGCCTCAGTAAGGCGGACTGGTCAACTTAAGGGCTAATAGCATTATCTGACGCCGTAAAGTAGTGCTCCCGGTGACAGATGCCTAAGGCGTTTGAACCTACAACCAAGAGCCAACGCAGAATTGAAACCAGTTATCGCATGGGTTACTGCTGCTTTTCCAGGATTGTAACTTGAACAACTTACCGTTGGCAGGAATTAGGGTGGTGGACCTCAGCCGGGTGTTTGCCATGCCCTATGTCGGTGCACACTTGGCTGACCTGGGCGCGGACGTTATTAAGATAGACACTCACCACGCCGCCTTCGTGGACACCACTCGTACCCTGACCGGTCCATACCCTGAAAACGAACCGGGTCCTGATTATTGGAACCGGGCGGGAACCTTCCAGACTCTCAATCGGGGCAAACGCAGCCTGACCCTCGACTTGCGTTCGGAGCGGGGGAAGGCAATTCTGCTTGACCTTATTGGCATAAGCGACGTAGTCCTCGAGAACTTCACTCCAAGGGTTACGCGCCGATTTGGTCTGGACTATTACAACCTGCGGGCCGTCAAGCCGGACCTGATCCTGGTGTCAAATACGGGCTACGGCCATAGTGGCCCGTGGAGCGATTTCGGGGCTATGGCTTCGGCACTGGAACCGACCCACGCCTCCGGGACTTTCATGGGTTATCTGGAACCGGACACGCAGGGTAACCTGGGCCCTAGCTCGACGCCCAACAAGATCGGAAATTCTTACACTGACTTCCTCGCCTGCTGGTCAGCCCAGTTGGCGACCCTGGCAGCACTCATCCGGCGTGCCCAGACAGGAGAAGGCGTGTGGATTGATCTGGCGATGTACCAGACCGGAGTTTCTTTTTTCGGCGAGGGTCTCCTGGACTTTTCCTACAACGGCCGCCGCACTCGCCGCATAGGCAACCGACACGAGAGCATGTCACCTCATGGCTGTTATCCCTGCTTGGGCCATGACCGATGGATTACGCTGGCGGTACGTGATGATCAGGACTGGGAGGCATTTTGCCAGGCCACAGGTCAGCCCGAATTGGCCGCCGACCCTCGGTTTACAGACCCAATAATTCGTCAGGGGAATCAGGAAGCATTGGATGCCTTGGTAGAAGAATGGTCAGGAGGGTTGGAACAGGCTGAGGCAGTACGTAGGCTTACTTCCGCACGAGTACCGGCAGCACCCGTGCTGGATGCAGGGCAATTATTAGCGGACCCGCATCTGCGGCAGCGGGGCTTCTTTGAAAAGGCAGAACACCCGCCAACTTCGGGGCTGGGAAGCAGGGAATACCTTGGAAGAGGCTGGCGGCTATCAGGGGCCAAACCCAGGGTGCAGGGGCCGGCTCCGGAACTGGGAAGAGACAACAGCGAAATCTTGCAAGAACTGTTGGGGTTTTCGGCTAGCGAGATTGGAAGTCTAACCGAGGCAGAGATAATTGGGCAGCAACTTGCTCCCGCCGGGTCTCCCAACGTGGTACCGCTGTCTCGCCAGGAAGAACTGGGCTGGATCGCCGGACATGTGCCAGATTCCAAGGGTGGAGAGGAATAGACCTGTATCTCACAGGAGCACTCCTCTTTTCGAGGGCACCCCTGCCGCCTTTTATCGGCTGGTGCTATACTTTTGCACAATGATGGGCAGATTTCGTCACTCTACCCAAAGTCTGTAGAAACCCTAAGCTCGACAAAAAACCAACAGCCTCTTACTTATCTATCCTTGGAGAAGAAGTGATGGCAAATAGCGAACTGGCATTGATGGCCCACCTCTTTCGTCGCGCCGGGTTTGGCGCAACCAGGAATGAGCTCGATGAATACGTGGCCCAGGGATACGAAGCCGCTGTCGAGCAATTGCTTCACCCCGAACTGGCACCGGTAATGGATGAGGACGTCCTGCGCCGGTACCAAATAGACCAAAACAGCCTCATGTTGATTGAAAGCTCTCAGGCCTATTGGCTGTACCGCATCATCAACACCCAGCGTCCACTGGAAGAAAAAATGGCCTTGTTCTGGCACAGCCTGTTTGCCACTGCCTATGGAAAACTGAACCATGCCAAGGCAGTTGTAGACCAGACCAATACCTTTCGACGCTGCGGGCTTGGAGATTTTCGCACCCTCCTGCTGGAACTGTCCCGTGACCCGGCCATGATTTTCTGGCTGGACAACAAGGACAATCACAAGGATGCGCCAAACGAGAACTACGGACGAGAGTTGCTGGAACTCTTTTCAATGGGCATCGGCAACTACACCGAGGACGACGTTAAGGCCTGCGCACGGGCCTTTACCGGCTGGACCATTGCGAACGCCGAATATATGAGCATCAGGGCTTCCCGAGATTCCATTTGGCCCCACGGTCGGTTGGACTGGCAGTTTCAATATCTGCCCGAAGATCACGATGAAACCGCCAAGACATTTCTGGGCCAAACCGGGCCATTCAATGGCGAGGATGTAATTGACATTATATGTGACCAACCGGCCACCGCCTGGTTCGTGGCATCCAAGCTTTACGGGTATTTCGTCTCGGACACACCCCATGAGGAATCTATTCAATACCTGGCAGACAAGTTTGTTGAGTCCAAAGGGAATGTCCGTGAAGTCATGCGCTCCCTGTTTACGTCCGACTTTTTCCGTGGAGACGAAGCACGACTGGCCAAGGTCAAGAGTCCTGCCGAACTGGTAGCCGGCACGGCGCGGCTGGCCGGCAGTTACCAGTTTCCGGAGTGGGGCATTGTGAATTTGGCGATGGACGTCAGCTTCATGGGCCAGGAAATCCTGAATCCTCCTACGGTTGAGGGTTGGCATACGGGCCGCGAATGGATCGACACCGGCAACCTCGTGGAGAGGGTGAACTCGGCAGCCCTGGAAATGGGGGACGTAAGCAGGCCGGGCGTGCAGGCGGCGCTCCATAGAATCAGATCCAGTGGCGAATCGCTGCCACCAGAAGCGTTCGTTGACGCCTGCCTGGATGCTGTCGGCCAGTTTGAGGTAGCCGACTCCACGCGGGAAAGCCTGGTAAACCACGCTCAACGAGAAGGAATGATTGAGTTCTCAGGAAGGGGAGCGGAAAGTTGCGCTGAGTCTCGGGTCGCCGAAATGCTTCAACTCATAGTGGCGACCCGGGAATACCAACTCGCTTAAGTTTGTTTGAATGACCCCGATACGGGGATCAACTGAGGCAAAGGTAAGGGCCATGATGATGGTCGCATCGCTCCAATATAGCCACACACTGGGGTTCATGGCTAATCAAGGCCGGGGGTTCAACAATCCCGTGGACTTGGCATTGAATTCTCAGGGCACTCTCTACGTCCTCAGCCGTGCCGGGCCAGAAGTTGGTGTAAGGATCGCCTACAAGCGAATCACCATATGCACATCGGAGGAGGAATACCTGGGGGAGTTCGCCACCGGAGGGACCGGTGAGGGAGATCTTTGGTGGCCAAGTTCCCTGGCCTTTGACGCAGAAGACCGGCTTTACATTTCCGACGAAGCCCTGAATCGAATTTCCATTTACGACCATGATGGGCAATTTCTGACCAAATGGGGTGTTGCAGGCCCGGGCGAAGGGCAATTCAATAGACCTTCTTTTATCGCTTTCGACCGGGACCAGAATTTGCTGGTTGCTGACAGCTTGAACCACCGAATACAGAAGTATTCCAGGGACGGGGAGTTCCTGGCCCAATGGGGCGGGTTTGGTAATGAACCCGGCTTGTTTAATATGCCTTGGGGGCTTGCTGTTGACTGCGACGGAAACGTGTATGTTTCGGACTGGCGAAACGACCGAATTCAGAAGTTCTCAGCCGCCGGAGAGTTCATTGTTACGTACGGCGAGCCCGGAGATGGGAAGGGGCAGTTTAACCGGCCGTCCGGACTGGCCGTAGATAGTGCAGGAAACATAATAGTCGCTGATTGGGGCAATGAGAGAGTTCAGGTGTTGGACGGCGACGGCAAATGCCTAGCTTCTTACCGAGGGGAATCCAAAGATTCTATGTGGGCAAAGGACTATTTCTCAGCGAACCCGGATGAGGCGACTGCTCGATATGAAGCGGACCTGGAACCTGAGGTTGAACCAAGGCCGGAATATGACTCCCACCGGGGATTCGAATGGGAGCGTTCGGCCAACGTGGAGAAACTGTTCTGGGGACCCACGTCGGTGAAAATCGGGGTAGACGGGCTGGTCTATATCGTGGACAGCCTCCGACACCGAATTCAGATATATCGTTCGGGCAGTTGAGCCTTAACCAAGGCGAACAAGGGATCCCGAGAACTGATGATGGGCAGTCTTCAAGACTGCCCATATATGCTTTCAGGAATTCATTCCACCGAATCCAAGGCGCTTGTGCAACCCTAGATTGGTAGCAGCTTCTCGTTTCGAGTGGGAGGCAATTCGGTATCGAAGGCATCAATACAAAATGCGAACATGGCGTAGTTGCCCATTACCAAGGTCAATTCCACTAAGCCCGCAGTGCCAAACTGCTCAAATGCTGACTGCCAAGCGCCCCGGCTGACACGGTGGGTCCGGAAATACTCCTGACCGTAGTTGACAACCGCTTCTTCGTCGGGCGCCAGGTCCAACAACTCTTCCCCTTCCCTCAATGCGTCCACCAGTTCGTCCGGTACACCGGCATCCCTCGCCGAGGCTGCGTGCGCATTCCAGATATGCTGGCAATCCATTTCCCGGGCCGTCACCAGCATGGCCAATTCCAGAATCTTCGGGGACAGGCTAGAATCGCGGCGCAAATACTGGTTCAGGGCGGTGGCGACTTTGGCTGCTCCAGGTGCGTGGATGGTAACCGAACCGGGGCCCCGGTTCGGTACTTCTCCGCCCCCCACGACTTCGTCGAAGATGTCGCGCTGGTTTTCGGGAACACTTTCTCTTGTTGCCACTGGCAGTCTGGGCATTTTCTCTCCTCCGGTTTATTGAGTTCTTGGTCAGGATTGGGTTCCTTAAGGTTTAATGTCGGGAAACAATAGATTAACGAGCTTGCTGCTCTCGCGTCTTGCCCGTTTTCTCTTCGAAGAGCTTCCACGTCAGGTCGTTGAACGGGTAATACTTACCGGGGGAGCAACGCTCCACCTCAAGTTGGGCCTTGATTACTTCTTCCACCTCTTCCCGCTCGTGGGCTATGGAAATAACCTGGTCGACGACGGCGTGAGGTACGACAACAGCTCCATCGTCGTCACCAACGATAGCGTCACCGGGGCGCACCAAGACACCGCCACACTGGACGGCATCGTTGACTTGCCACGGCCAGAACTCGGCCGGGCCCTGTTTAGCGGTAGTTGATGCCGAGTAGACTGGAAAACCCGTATTCGATGAGGGAGTTGCTGTCCCGTACTGAACCATCAGTAACGAGGCCCCCCACTTCGCGTTGATGCAATCGCATAAATTTGATGTCGCCACCGATGGAACTGTATGTCCAGCCCATAGCGTCAATGACTATTACCTCGCCAGGACCACACAATTCATAGGCCACATATTCGGCCTGACTGGTCGCCCTTCGGCTTGTCCTGTACCAGGTCGGCCGGTGGGGCACGAACCGCAGCGTGACGGCGCGGCCGGCCATCTTCTGCCCACGCTGTAAAGGACGGGCACCTTCGATGTAGCTCATCGGCCAGCCCATTACCCACAGTCCGTCAATCAGGGTCTGAGTGGGGATGCTCTTCAGGACATCTAGAGTTTCATCGGATATAGGGTCTCGGGTCGTCATTTATCAACCTCAGTTTCTAATGGGAATTGCGCTCCAATTCCAGCCCTGAGCCATTATAACAGCCCAAAAAGAAGAGGGCGGCCAATTTGGCCGCCCCGAACATATATATCTGGCTTCAGGGAATCTACTCGTCAGGCCATCCATCAGCGGTTTCACTGGCAGCCAGTGCGGCCTGGACGGCGGCTTTGGCATCTTCAGTTACCCACTCGCCCCAGATGTTGGGGAAACTGTTCAACCACCATAGTGCGGTGGCCTTTACATCGGCATCGGGATTCTGGTCCTGCCACCTAACTGCAGCTTTGTAAATATCAATGTTGAAGTCCCAATTCCGGAGCATTTCGACTACGTCTGGTGCATTGCCAGGCAGGTCAGGGTTCACCGCTATCAGGATTTCAGCATCCTCATAGGCGCAGGCCTTGGTGGTGAACCAGCATTCGTCACTATATGCCGGCTCCTCCAATCGAACCAGGTCCAGCTTCAACGCCGGATCGTTGGTTCCCCATTGGTAGCCCAACCACGGTTCGCCTTTGTCGTAGGCCCCCTGCAGGTCTGCATTCAAGGCGGCACCGTCGCCTGGATTGATAACTTCTACGTGGTCACCAAGATCATATCCACTAACCTGAGCAGCGTTCACGGTTTCGCAGGCCCAACCAATAATGCAAGATACCAACCGGGCCTTGTCACCCGTCTCTGTTGTCTTAAACAGGTCCTTGTATTGTTGATCTTTTAGGTCCTCGACACTGTCCAAATCCGGATACTCTTCCTGTAGATAGGCCGGTATGACAAAGGCGGACTGCCAGTCACTGCCCAAACTCTTGCCAACTGAAAGAACGGCTCCTTCAGCACGGGCCTCGTTCCAAGCCTCATCCTGATTGGGTAGCCATATTTCCATAGTTACGTGAGTGTCGCCGCGCTTCAAACCCTGGAAAAGGGGCAAAGTGGAACCAAATTTCACGTCAGTGGGGTAGCCATATCCTTTTTCAATGAGGTACTGCGCAATACGGTTTTGTAGAAGAGCGCTGGACCAGTTGAGGTCACCGAATATGATCGTCTCTTTTGGCCCTTCCTCAGGCATCACCATTACTTCGACAATCTTTTCAACTTCCTTTTCAACCTCAACGATCCGTTCCTGAATTACTTCGACAGGGACTTCCTTTTCTACTACTACTTCTTTCTCGACCTCTACTACGACTTCCTTCTCGACCTCAACGACCCGTTCCTGAATTACTTCGACAGGGACTTCCTTCTCAACGATGACTTCCCTTTCGATGATCTGTGGTTCGGGTGCAGGTGCAGCCCCACCACAGGCAACCAGGGCGAAAATGGCGAACACGGCCGCCATCAGCAGAATTAACCGATACTTAGCAAACAAGTTAATGTACCTCCCATTTAGTTTGTGTATGATTCCTACCAACTAGTGGCATAGGACGCAATCAAAAAATGTTAGCAGCGTCACATTGCACTGTCAAACTACAATTAGCCGGCTTCTAAACCGGTTCTAATAAATTCATCAGCCGATTCCCATGGATTGCTGGCGGCTCCGGGCTGCGGATTGGGTCATTCGGTCAATGACGATGGCCAGGAAAACGATGGCTAGCCCCGCAATAGCACCGTTACCCGACTCGTTCTTTTGCAGTGCCCTCAGCACGTTGTCACCCAGTCCACCGGCAGCTACCATGCTGGCAATAGTGACCATCGCCAACGCCATCATAGTTGTCTGGTTTATTCCAGCCATAATGGTTGGAAGCGCCATCGGAATTTGGACCTTGGTCAACACCTGCATTGGCGATGCGCCAAAAGAACGGGCAGCTTCAACCGTCTCCGGAGATACCTGGCGAATGCCCAGGTTAGTCAATCGGATAACCGGTGGAACGGCATAAATGATGGTAGCAAAAATACCGGCGGGTTTGCCCAGTCCGAAGAAGAGGATACCCGGCAGCAGGTACACGAAGCTGGGCATGGTCTGCATACCATCTAAAATGGGACGCATGAGATTGTCCGCAATCCTGCTGCGCGCACCCCACACCCCTAATGGCAATCCTATTGCCATGGCTACAGCAACGGCGACTACCATTAAAGCAATTGTGTCAATTGTGTTTTGCCAGAGGTCCATAAAACCAATATAGAGCAAGGCAATGGTCGTAAAAGTGGCCAAGGCCCAACGTCCCATCGCAAAAGCGAGCATGGTCATTGCCAGCACTAGTGCTGGCCAAGGGACCCACTTCAGAAAGTCCTCAATGTATTTTAGAGCGTAGGTGACGGCAGTGGAGATGCTGTCAAAAAGCCAAGCTCCCGTCACAGTAACCCAACCGACAGCCGAATCTATCCATGCACCGGTTTGTTGTCTGATAGTTTTTTCAAGGGTAATTGTTGCTCCACCGGTAGTAGGAATCTGCGAAGTTGAAATAGTAGTTGGGTACTCCATGCCTGGGCCCCAAATGGCCAGGCTGGCAACGAGCACGACGGCGATGAGGGCCAGACCAGCGCCCCATTTGTATAGTGGTGGTACAGAGTTGACGAGGGTGCTTAAGGACGCAGCGGAACTGCCAACTCTTTCTATTTCCTGGGTACCATGCCGGTCACTGGAGTTGCTTTCTCCTGAGTCATCTCGTGTTAAGGAAGCCATTATTCCCCTCCGGAAAGGGCGGTATAAGCTGTTGAATGATCTTCGTTCTAATGCAACCGCCACAATATGTGTACGCCGCTTACCGGCGAGCGGTCACAGTGAACTAGCTATCAGTTGCCTCGTTGTCCGCGGCTATGGACGCATTCATGGCCGCGTTAGCCACGTAATCGGGGTCCACTGTTGATGTTACGGCCAGCGCTTCTGCAAGGGCGCTTCGATGCACCTCGCCGACCAAAGTGTTGCCGTCATCCACCACCGGAATGGGAAAGTCGCTGGACATGGCAATCGGGATCAAGGAATCGAACGTTGTAGCCGGAGAAACCGGCAGGTAACTTCGGTCCACAAGTCCCAGGCCTCGTCAACCCGCTTCACACCAGCGCGTAGAGCCCGCTCTGCGTTGCTAATTGACAAAAGACCCACGTATTTTTCGTGACTGTCGACCACCCATGCAACATCACCGTCGCTTTCCCCAATGGTATGCAAGGCAGCTCGGGGTCCCTGGCGGCCCATAACCGTCGCCTTGGGCGATACCATTACCTTGCTGGCAGTCAGCACACTTTCCAAGCGTACATCCTGGGTAAAGTCTCCCACGTATTCGTCCTCGGGGCGTAGGACAATATCTTCAGGGGAGCCAATCTGGGCCACAGCTCCGTCGTGCATGATGGCAATTTGGTCTCCCAACTTTAGCGCCTCGTTGAGGTCGTGTGTAATGAATACGATGGTCTTCTGCAGTTCGGTTTGCAGATTCAGGAGTTCGTCCTGCATTTGGCGCCGGATCAAAGGATCAAGCCCGCTGAATGGCTCATCCATCAGCAGAATGTCAGTATCCACTACCAGCGCTCGGGCCAATCCAACTCTCTGTTGCATGCCGCCCGACAATTGGCGTGGGTAGGCATCCTCCCACCCTGCCAGCCCGACCATTTCCAGCACTTTCCTGGTCCGGTCGTTCCGGTTTTCCTTTTCCACGCCTTGTACTTCCAGGCCCCAAGCCGCGTTGTCCAGCACGTTTCTATGGGGCATCAGGCCGTAATGCTGGAATACCATTGCTATTTTGGCGCGCCGGAAGTCTACCAATTCTTTGTCCGTCATTTTGGTGACATTCTCACCAGCTATAAGGATGTCTCCTGCGGTGGGCTCTATTAACCTGAGCAGGCATCGGACTAACGTCGACTTGCCGCTGCCGGAGAGACCCATGACCACGAAGGTTTCACCTTTCCTGACGTCGAAACTAACATCCCGCAAACCGACCACATTCCCATACTCACTCTGGAAGAAAGACTTGTCCTTCTCCGCGTACTCGGGGGCCATCACCCGTTCCGGATTCCTGCCGAAGACCTTCCAAAGTGAAACAACCGAAATGTAGGGGCTACCGTCATTCGCTGAGGAATCAGATTCATGTGCAGAAGTTCCCAAGAGAGCAACACTGCCCGATCCATCTCCAGGATTGCTGTGGTTCTGCATCTGAATATCCTCCTCGAAGATATGGGCCGCCAAAGCCAGGCGAACGGCTCAGTTTACGCACTTGATCTTGAGGGTAAGCGCAGTAAGCGTTTTCGGACAGTGGCAACCAGTGGCAGGAGACCGAATACCGACTTGGTCCTGTGGCTACCAAGGGTTTACATAAAGCCTGTGAAAGTGGGAGTGAGTGGATAGCGAGACCTGAATGAGGTCCGCGACGATTGGGGATCTCCCTTTGAGAGAGGCGGCTCATGGCTGGCATGGTGGATTACCCCTTCCCTGTCGCTTTCGCCAAGGATACCCTACGTTGATGGTTACATTTGTCAACCCTGGGCGACTCTCATTCCCTTGTCCAGCTTGCCCCCTTCATCCTCTGTCCATTAGCCTCTTTAATGCAGGATACTAAGGCTAGGGCAATCTAAGGACCTGGTTTGCTCGTATCAACGAATAGTGTAAGATTAGAATCTGAATCAAGAACCATAGTTGCGCTATCAAGGCAACCGGGAGGGGACTAATGCCTAGAATTGCAATAGTTGGCACCGGCTTAATGGGCACTTCCCTGGGGATGGGCCCTGCGCAACTCATCCTTGCTCAACGTTGAGCTGGTGGGTACCGATTCCAGTGGGAGCGCCAGAAGCGGCGCCCAGAAAAGCGGTGCATTTCATCGCATGGAAAATCGTTTGCTCAATGCCGTGGAAGGGGCCGACATTGTTGTTTTGGCCACACCCATCGTGGCTATGAGGGAATTGATGGAAGTTATGGGGCCACATCTGCCGGAAGGCTGCGTGGTGACCGACGTAGGCAGTTCCAAGAAGGCTGTCCTGCAGTGGGCCGACGAATTGTTGCCAGACAGTGTCCATTTTGTGGGTGGCCACCCCATGGCTGGGAAGGAAACTACCGGCCCGGAAAGTGCCGACCCTAATCTGTTAAAAGGCAAGACATACTGCATTATTCCCAGCGCGAAAGCGGACGAGCGTGCGGTTGCGGAAATAAGCACTATGGTGGAAGCCCTCGAGGCCACGCCCTATTACATCAGTAGCGAAGAGCACGACAGTTTTGTGGCCGCTGTAAGCCACCTGCCATTCCTCTTGTCGGTGGCGCTGGTGGGTTGCACCACCAGCAGCGCCAACTGGGACGACCTTGCCCGCGTGGCATCCAGCGGTTACCAAGACTTGACCCGCCTGGCCTCGGGAGATACGGTAATGCACCGGGACATCTGCATAACAAACCCGGAGCCGATAGTTTCCTGGATCGATACTTTCATCAGGGAACTCTACGAGATTCGGCAGTTGCTGGCCGATTCAGACAACCTGGATTCCCAGGCCATTCTGGATCTATTTGTCGAAGCAAGTAAGGGTCGGGCACAGTGGATGGCCGGGGAGTATGGCCCGATGGCGAGGCAATACAATCCGCACAGCGAATTGCCAACTTTCGCCCAAAGCATGGGCGACATGTTCGTAGGTCGAAGGTTGCTGGATGCTCAGCGCCGGCTCTTTCGGGGTTCCCGAGATGGAGATGACCGGCGTTAGACCACCGAGTGTGCAGGGGTTTGTAGATTGTCTCGAAATCCAAACAACGAAGTGGGCGAAGCATACGATGTGACGCTTCCGATGCCATTGCTGGTCGTTATTAGCGGCCCCTCAGGTGTGGGGAAAGATGCAGCCATTGCTGAGTTGAAAAAGAAAGACAAACCCTGGCACTTCGTCGTGACTGCGACCACACGCGCGCCAAGACCAGGCGAAAGCGATGGAATAGACTACATCTTTCTGGACGAGGGCACGTTCAAAAAACTTCGAGAAGACGATCAGCTCTTGGAAAGTGCCGAGTATGCCGGCCGCTGGTACGGTGTGCCCCGGAGCCAGGTAGCGGAAGCAATGGAAACCGGCAAGGATGTATTTCTGAAAATCGACGTCCAGGGAGCCGAGTCAATTCGGGCACTTGCTCCGGAGGCTCTTTTTATCTTTCTGGCTCCCGGGTCCATCGAAGAATTGGCCGGCCGATTGAACCGGCGGCAAACAGAAACCCCCGAAGAACTGGAAAGGCGCCTCCAAATTGCGCGCCAGGAACTGGCCCTTGCCGGGCAATACGATTACTGCGTAGTTAATCGTGACGATAGCCTGGATCAAGCGGTGGCAGAAATCGAAGCCATAATCGTTGCGGAAAAATGTCGCGTACGACCCAGGATTGTGCGGTTTTCATAAGAATTACAATCCTAATTTCTCAGCATACTCGTAAAGGCCAGATGAGCCGAAGGCAAGTTTGAATTGACCACTGAACCAAATCGGCAATACTGCTGTTAGACCCAAACTCCCTCCCTGGCTCAAGGTCGCTATGCCAGGCAGCGCTGGCTACCTGGAACTTAAGCAGTTGATGCGGGGGCACCAACTGCACACCGTTTGCGAAGAGGCGCACTGCCCAAACATCGGGGAATGCTGGGGCCGCGGCACCGCCACGTTCATGATTCTCGGGGATATTTGTACTCGGCGCTGTCACTATTGCGCCGTAACAACCGGGCGGCCTCAGGGAATTGACCTGCAGGAACCTGGCCGGTTGGCAGAAACGGTCAAAAAGATGGGGTTGAGCTATTGCGTCATTACGTCCGTTAACCGGGATGACCTGGCAGACGGAGGGGCTTTCATTTTCGCGTCTTGCATTAAGCGAATTCGCACCGAATCTCCCGATTGCAAGGTTGAGGTTCTGATACCAGACTTTGCCGGTTCCACGGATGCCCTGACCAGGGTAATGGAAGCCGGGCCCGACGTTTTGAACCACAATATAGAGTCTACCAAGAGGGTATTCCCAAGGGTCAGGCCCAAGGGTGATTACCGGCGTTCGCTGGATCTGTTGTCCAATGCCAAAGAAATTGAGCCGGCCGCCGTAACCAAGTCAGGTATCATAGTCGGCATGGGTGAGAAAGTCTCGGAAGTTGTTGAGACCATGCAAGACCTTCGCGAGGTAGACTGCGACCTCTTAACTATCGGCCAATATCTGCGACCCTCTTCGAAGCACATCGCTATAGACCGCTTCTATCACCCTTCCGAGTTCTCGGAACTGGCGCGAATTGGCAACGAGATGGGATTCAAGCACGTCGCCTCGGGTCCCTTGGTGCGTAGCTCTTACCACGCTGACCTGCAGCACGATGCGGCGGTCTTAAACCTCTAGTCATACCCAGTACTGGACTCTTTCAGTCTTTCTCCTCTCGACAGAAAACCAGGCACCCGCTGACACTGGATTTAGAGTAGCGTGTCCATGTCCAACCGCGCCGACTTGATCTTGTACAACGCCAAAGTGTGGACCTTCGACCCGAGGAAACCTCACGCGGCGGCCGTTGGAATTACTGGGGATAGAATTATCGCGGTAGGCTCCAACTGCGATGTTCTCTCGCTTAAGGCAACCGGGACCGAAGTCATCGACTGCCGCGGCCTTCCATTAATCCCCGGACTCAACGACGCCCACTGCCATATCCTTTCTACCGCCGCCTCGCTATCCGGATTTGAGTGTGGCCATGGAAAATTGGCTTCCATAGCCAACCTCCTTCCCACTTGAGGGCTTACGCCGGTGGCTTGGAGCCCGGAAAATGGATAAGGGGTTATGGCCTGGACCCCAAAGCTCTTCGGGAAAGCAGGTATCCCACCCGCCATGAACTGGATTCAGCAGCCCCCGATCATCCGGTTCGCCTGGAGCACTTCAGCGGGCACGCCGCAGTCTTGAATAGTCTTGCACTTAAGCTGGCCGAAATAGACTTCTCGACACCGGATCCGTTAGATGGACTAATTGAACGGGAAGCGGCAACGGGAGAACCAACCGGAGTTCTGTTCGAAATGGGCGGTTTTCTAAGGCAAAGATTGGGCAACACACGTTCAATTATTGACCTGGAATCAGGCGTTGTCGGGCTAAGTGATAGGCTGCTCAAATATGGGATCACTTCGGTGCAGGATGCAGGTCCCGGCAATGGAATGGAGCAGTGGCGAACTTTCAACTCGTTAAGCGGCAATGCCAAATTCGCGCCCCGGATAACCATGATGGCCGGTGCTGGTAACCTGGAGGAATTTGTCGAAGAGGGATTGGCTTGGGGCTCAGGCAGTAAAAGTTTAAGACTAGGACACGCGAAAATAATGCTGACTGCGACCACTGGTAGCTTGTATCCAGCGCCAGAGGACTTGCATTGGTTGTGCTCCAAGGCGGTGGAAGCAGGTTTTCCTGTTGCCGTTCACGCTGTTGAGCAGGAAGCGCTGGACGCTGTGCTGGATATGCTGGAATTTCGGTTAGCTCCTTCAGTCGACTCGAAACGTAGGAGCAACTTGCCCGTGCCCCGGCAGCGCCTTGAGCATTGCGCTGAGTGTCCACCCATGTTGATGCGTAAATTGGCCCGATCCGGCGTGACGGTAGTCACCCAGCCGGGCTTTATTTACTGGCGGGGAGACAACTACATGGAACGGGTTGACTGGGAATTAGTCCCTTTTCTTTATGACTCGACGGAAATGGACCGGTTAGGGGTACCCCTTGCCTTCGGTTCGGATTCGCCGATAATTGACCCCTCGCCGTGGAAAGGGATATACAGTTCAGTTACTTCCCTGACCAAAACCGGCAAACAGTTTCCGCGACTCTCGAGCGACCTCGATTACGGCGGGCAAAGGCCCAATTCGATGACTATCGGTGAAGCTCTTCGTACCTACTCTATTGGCGGTGCCAAGGCTGAAGGGACTGAAGCATTGAAGGGGATTATTCGTCGCGGAATGCTGGCCGACCTGACTTTGCTCGACGACATTTTTGACGAAAATACTCCCGAGACAATAGAGCACACACATGCCGAGATGACCATTGTCGGGGGGGAAATAAAGTGGGCGGGCGTAGGAGTTGGCTGAGTATGACACCAGCCGAATCCGCGAAATGTAGAGGCTTATCGGCTGCGTTCTCTGACGTAGCCTGCCAATGATTCCAGCGATTCCCGGCATTCCCCTTTGGGTAGCTCACTCAGAACCCGGTTGGCCTCATCACAGTATTCATGGATGATGGCAAAGCAATCCGGAATTATTGAAGAATTGTTAATCATGTCGATGGTCCGGACCAGATTGCCATCCAACTCGGGATCCCTGAAGAGCTCAGGAATCGGGTTGTTATTCGGGTAACGCTGCATAAGCATAATGCTGGGCAGGGTCAAAACCCCTTGTCTCAGGTCGTTACCAACGGGCTTCCCCAACTCGGCTTCTTCTCCCAGGATATCCAGCAAGTCGTCCATCACTTGGAAGGCCATTCCAATGTTGTAGCCGTAATCGCTGAGGGACTTAATCTGCTCCTCATTAGCTGAGCTGAGCACCGCGCCGGTCTCTGAAGCTGTGCGGAATAGAGAGGCCGTCTTCCGGTAAATTCTATCGTAGTAGCGGTGTAATTCCTGTTCGGGATTAAAGGCGTTGAAATACTCGATCAACTCACCACTGGCCAATTCCATTATGGTTTCGGCAAACCTCCGAACCACTCTCAAATTGCCTGTATCGCAGACCAAGGTTGCTGAGGTGGCAAACAGGTAGTCACCCAGCAGCACGGCTACCTCTTTCCCCCATCGGCCGCTGACCGAGGCCTGGCCGCGCCTGGTATCCGCGTCGTCAACGTATCGTCGTGTATCAAGGTTGCTAGATGAAGAAGCTCGACCCCTGTCGCCATTCGGACCGGGTTTTCGGGCTCCAAGGGAAGTATTTGGAAGCAAGCAAGGTTAAGGCCGGGCGTACCATCTTTCCGCCGTGGGATAGTGCATGGTCCAGAAGTGGGTCCAGTTCAGGGAAAGAAGTGCTGGCCAGGTCGTGGAGTCGTTCCTCAACGAGGGATAATTCTTTCAATATAGGGGAGTATATTGTGACAGCGTGCCTGTCCAATCCCTGTGCCAAAACAGCCTCTACGAATTTTCGTTGCCAAGCCGTTGTGTTTCCATTTCAACAACTTGGGGGTCCAGCTTGATATAAAGCGGGGCGGGCTGGCGTAGGGCACTCCCGCCCTTCACTTCCCCAATCAGGTGTTCAAAGTCCCAACGCTCCAGTTCCACTGGTCCTTCCAGGCCCAGGTATTCGTGAACTTTCTGCGAACTAAATGGCAGAAAAGGCGCGAGAACGACTTTCAAGCAATTGATCACCTGCAACGAAACATTCAAGGTATTGGCAGCCTCGTTCCGGTCGGTCTTTATGGACCGCCACGGCGCCTTGGTGTCCAGGTATCGATTGGCTTCCTGCGCCAAACCAAATGCTTGTCCAACAGCAGCCTTAAACCGAGTGTGTTCCAGGCTGTTACCCACGTCGTCCAGCGCTGCCTTGGCTGCATCAAGCATTTGCCTGTCTATCTCGTCCAGTGGCCTGGCCTGAGGTACGAGACCTTCAAAATTGCGATAAGTGAACGACAAAACCCGGTTAACCAGGTTCCCATAAGTCGCTACCAGTTCTTCGTTGTTTCGCCGGACGAATTCGCTCCAGGAGAAATCGGCGTCTCCGGTCTCAGGCATATTTATGGACAGGAGATAGCGTAGCGGATCGGGCTCATACCGGTCCAAAAAGTCCGGAACCCACACTGCCCAATTCTGGCTGGTGGAAAATTTTCTGTTTTCGAGGCTTAAGAACTCATTGGCCGGCACATCATAGGGCAGATTGAGCCCATTGCCGTAACCCATGATCATCGCCGGCCAGATAATGCTGTGGAAAGGGATGTTGTCCTTTCCGATGAAGTAATAGCTGCGAGTGGAAGGGTCCTTCCAAAACTCCTCCCAACGTTCAGGTTGGCCCGAGTTGGCAGCCCATTCGATCGCAGCCGAAAGGTAACCAATGACCGCTTCGAACCATACGTATATCCGCTTTCCCTCATATCCTTCCAAGGGAATTGGAATGCCCCAAGTCAGATCGCGGGTGATGGCCCGATCCTTAAGGCCACCTTCCAGGAAACTGCGTGTCTGGTTGGAAACATTTGCCCGCCAGTGAGGCTGGTCCTTGATCCACTCCAGCAAGCTATCCTGAAAGGCTGATAGTTTAAGGAAAAAGTGCTCCGACTCCATGAACTCAGGTGGCCCTCCGCAAAGGATGCAAAAGGCTTGCACTAATTCCTGGGAGTCCAGTGTGCGGCCGCATTGGTCACACTGGTCGCCGCGGGCCCGCTCGTAACTGCAATGGGGGCAAGTCCCTTCAACATAGCGGTCAGGCAGGAAACGCTCGCAACCGGGGCAGAATGCCAAAAGCATGTTGTCTGTATAGATGTATCCCTGATTCAAAAGGGATAGGAATATATCCTGGACAACCTTTTCGTGATTTTCCGTGTTGGTGTGGGTAAAGAGGTCAAAAGATATCCCCAATCGCTCCCAGCTATTGAGGAAGTCCGCGTGATACCGCTCAACTACTTCGGCAGGTGATATTCCTTCCTGGTCGGCCCTGATTGTAATGGGGGTCCCGTGAGTGTCGCTGCCTGACACCATCAACACTTCATTGCCGCGCATCCGGTGGTAGCGGGCAAATATGTCTGCGCCGAGGTAGCAACCCGCCAAGTGGCCCAAGTGAAGAGGGCCGTTGGCGTAGGGCCAGGCAACACCTATAAAGATTCTTTGTGCCAAGTGTATTCCTGTTGGCAGTCGGAAAAGCCTCCAACCGGAGTTCCGACTCTGCAACGATAAGCAGTTAGGTGAAAATTTCAACAAGGATAGCATAATTTAATTGCAAGGCGGTAGCGATATTCAGAAGCGGTTTCTTTAAGGTTTCTGTGTTGCAGAATCAAGAGATATTGCCTAGCATGCTTAGGTAATGTATGGAAGGCTCGGACCGACTGTCAAAGTTCAGCAGAAAGTACGGCGTGTCAGGCAGGTGATGACGAAAAGAATCAGCCTGTTGGAGGGTGCATATTCTTGAATCCAACGGTAGTTAGTTGATTCACAAGTCACCAATAGAACTCTTGTCAATTAAATACATGTGGCTTTATGCAAGGGGTGAGTGAGTTGCCCTCTGTGTTGCTGATTTTGCTGTGGACCTGGAGCTGATGATCAATGACTAGAATGAGCGGTGGTCAAGCCCTGGCGAAATCGTTGGCTGGCGAAGGGGTAGAGGTCGTTTTTGGTATCCCGGGCATTCAAATGTACGGGGCAGTGGCAGCGTTACGCGATGAACCCGGGATTAGATTGATCGCAACTCGCCATGAGCAGTCAACCACCTTTATGGCTGACGGCTATGCCCGCGCTTCAGGCAAGCCTGGTGTGGCAATGGTTGTTCCAGGCTGTGGTTTTGCTCAACGCCACATCCGGATTGACCAACGCTTATGCTCGCTCCTCGCCGGTGCTCTTGATTGCCGGTCAGATCCCCCGGGGCATGATTGGCAAGAACCTGGGAGCGGTCCACCAAGTCCTGGACCAGCAGGAAATAGTGCGGAATCTAACCAAGTGGAGAGGGCGCGCGCTGCGTCCCCGCGAAGTCCCCTACACGGTATCTGAAGCATTCCGGCAAATGCGAAGCGGGCGACCCCGGCCTGTGTTGGTCGAGCTTCCCCCGGAAGCGGGGGTTGAACAGGAGGATGTTCAGCTTCGCAGCCCGGCTCCCGTGTCCAATATTGTGCCCAACTCTGACCAACTCCGGGAGGCGGCCCGCGTTATCGCCCAATCCCGTTTGCCCCTTATCTTCGCCGGCGGCGGCGTGGCCCGTTCTGATGGGGAAGAAGCTCTCGTCAGGTTGGCCGAAGCGACAAACATCCCCGTAATCACATCCAGTGGCGGCAAAGGCACAATACCGGACCGGCACCCACTTTGTTATGGCTCCTGCTTCAGTGCCAGAGGCGAAAGGCAGGAGATGAACCAGCTTTTCGAGGTGATGCAGTCGTCCGATGTTGTTATAGGGATTGGCGCCCGATTCTCCCTAGGAAATCCCGCGGGAGAAGCGTCTACGTTGGTTAACATAAACATAGACGATACTGAACTTACCCGGCTCCAGGCCAATACGTTACCCCTGCACGGCGATGCGAAAGCGACCATGGAGGCCTTGCTGCCATATCTGATGGAGGCTGAAGCCGGTGACCGTCCGTCGCCCGTAGAAGCCGTGGTAGCTGCCCGCCGACTCATTGCCTACTATGACATCGGTCTCCGTGAGCCGCAGTACCCCGTAATGGAGGCAATGCAGAGAGGGCTGCCGGAAGAGGCCATAATCGTTTGGGACGTCACCCAATTTGGCTACTATGCTCGTACCCATTACCAAGTAAACCATCCGAAGACTTACATCGATTCGGGCTATTCCTTCAACCTGGGATACGCTTTCCCTACTGCCCTTGGCGCCAAGGTGGCCAAGCCGGACCAACCGGTTGTATGCATGGCCGGCGATGGCGGGTTCATGTTTAATTCTTCCGAACTGTCCACCGCTGTCAAGTACGGCATCAACGTGGTTACAGTTGTATTCAGAAATGATTCCTACGGCAATGTGGCCCGCGACCTTGACGATTTCTTCTCCGGGACATACGAAACTGACCTCCATAATCCCGATTTCGTCAAATTCGCGGAAAGCTTCGGCGCAGTGGGCTTGAGGGCGGACGATCCCAAAGACCTGGAGACACTAATACCCCATGCGCTGGAACTCAACGCCCCGGTGATTATTGACGTGCCGTTTGGTGATATGCCAATACCCAGAGCCCCCCAGATAGCGCCGTTCTATGCCCTGCCATGGACCCAGCCCCAGGAAGGGCTGATTCCATCATAATGCGGGCAAATGAGCGGAACACGCCGCCAGACCACAGGATCGCGAGACCACAAGATAATGAGGTTAGCAATGGCAGGTTATGTGATTGTCGAAGTTGAAATCACGAATCGAGCAGGATACGGAGAGTTCCTGGAAAAGGTAACTTCGACTGTTGAAGCTCATGGCGGCAAGTTCGTGGTCCGGGGTGGCGACATCGATGTGATTGAAGGCAACTGGACTCCGATGCGCTTGGCGGTGTTGGAATTCGAATCTGCGGTGCGAGCACGGGAGTGGCTAGGCTCACCAGAATACAATGAACTTAATGACCTTCGAACCAGTTCCTCAAATATCAACATGGTTCTGGTAGAAGGTTTATTGGGCCCCTGAATACCGGAAATTTCGCCAATATTTCGTTGTCATTTCTATTGACAAACATAATCGCAATCGCTAGCATTCGAGCAGTTGTCTTTGCCGCAAGGAAAGGGAGTATTAAGAGTACACTGTCCCTAGAGAGCCGGAGATAGGTGAAATTCCGGCGACAGTAAGGCTCCCAACTCGCCCTGGAGCGGCCCGCCTGAACAGAGTAGGGCGTGGCGGTTAACCCCGTTAAAGGTTTGAAAGAGCTGTTCCGGCTCTATATACCGTCAGAATCATTAGGCGGAGAGTCGGAAAAGAAGGGTGGTACCGCGGGTAAGAAATTCGAGCCCGTCCCTTCGGGGACGGGCTTTTTTTATTTGGCGATTCTGAGGGAGAAATGGAATTAACCGGCGCAGAAATTGTTTGCGAGAGCCTGCTTAAGGAAGGAGTGGATGTAATCTTCGGTCTTCCCGGTGGAGCAGTTCTGCCTTTCTATGGGGCACTAAGCGGGTATCCGCAGATCCGACACATATTGGTTAGGCACGAGCAAGCTGCTGCCATGGCTGCTGACGGGTACGCTCGCGCCACTGGCAAAGTAGGCGTATGCACTGCTACTTCCGGACCCGGAGCGACCAACCTGGTTACCGGAATTGCCGGCGCCATGATGGACTCTATCCCCATGGTTGCCATCACGGGACAGGTGCCCCGCCCGGCTATTGGCCGAGACGCCTTCCAGGAAACCGACATTACAGGCATCACGTTGCCAGTGACCAAGCATAACATCCTTGTGATGGAAGTTGATGAAATAGCGCAGGCAGTAAAAGAGGCCTTCTACATTGCCCGCACTGGCAGACCTGGACCGGTGCTGTTGGACATCCCTAAAGATGTCCTGGCCGGCGACCGGCGACCATTTGATTGGCCTGAGTCGATCAGCCTGCAGGGCTATAACCCTCCCGGGGAAGCCGATGAACTCCAACTTTCCCAAGCTGTAGAACTGATTAATCAGGCGCAACGCCCGGTCATCCTGGCCGGTCATGGCGTGTTGATTTCCCATGCGTATAGCGAGTTGAAGGAGTTGGCTGAGAAGGCCCAGATCCCGGTTATTACTACTTTGCTGGGGATTGGTTCGTTTCCCACCGACCATTTTCTTCACGCGGGAATGCCCGGTATGCACGGCATGGCTTATGCCAGTCTGGCAATCGACAGTGCGGACCTGTTGATTTCGCTGGGAATGCGATTTGACGACCGGGTAACCGGTCGCCTTTCCGACTTTGCCCCCAACGCCAAGGTCGTGCATGTGGACGTGGACCCTTCAGAGTTTCATAAGAACGTAAAAGCTACCGTGCCGGTTTTGGGCGAGTTGAAACAGGTGCTCAACCAAATGCTGCCCCTGGTGGAGCGCAAGACTCACGTTGAGTGGCTGCAACATATTGACACGCTGCGCGCGGAGCACCCTTCGCTTTACATTCGACAGACCGATGAGCTGCTTCCCCAGTATGTATTGAAGCAGTTGTCCGACATCACAGATGGCCAGGCCATTGTGGTTACGGGCGTAGGTCAGCACCAGATGTGGGCCGCCCAGCATTACGCCTATAAGGAACCCAATTCCCTTATCACTTCCGGCGGGTTAGGAGCGATGGGCTTCGAGGTTCCGGCTGCCCTGGGCGCCAAGGTCGGCAGGCCAGACAAGGTGGTGTGGTCCATCGCAGGAGACGGCGGATTTCAGATGACCATGTGTGATCTCGCTACCGCAGTCGAAAATAACATCGATGTAAAGTTTGCCATCTTGAATAACGGAACTTTGGGTATGGTCCACCAGTGGCAGGAGTTCTTTTACGACAAGGACTTCTTCGCTACCGTCTATTCCGGTAATCCAGATTTTGTAAAGTTGGCCGATGCTTACGGTATTAAAGGTATTCGGGTGACCGACAAGACCCAGGTTGCCTCGGCAATTCGGCAGGCCATGGAAACTCCCGGTCCCGTCGTTTTGGACTTCATCGTCAAGCAGGATGAGCAGGTCTATCCCATGATTCCGGCCGGCGAGTCGGTCAATGAAATGATGGAAGAACCAATCACCGAGAGGATTTTCTAAATGAACGGCAACGGTAGACACCATACGATTATTGCGCTGGTACAGGATAGACCGGGTGTCCTCACCAGGGTCGCCGGACTTTTCCGGCGCCGCGGTTTTAATATTTCCAGTTTGGCGGTGGGAAACAGCGAACAAAAGGGACTGTCCCGGATGACCTTCGTGGTTGACGGCGATCAGTACACCGTGGACCAGGCTACCCGGCAGTTGGACAAACTGATCGAGGTAGTAAAAGTCGCCAATATTTCAGATGAGGAGATCGTCTCGCGGGAATTGGCGCTGATAAAGGTGAAAGTCACTCCGGCAACTCGGGGAGAGATCCTCGAGATGGTTCATCCCTTCCGCGCCGAGATCGTTGACGTGGGCGCGAAGTCTATGGTCATCGAAGTAACCGGCAGTGGCGACAAGATTCAGGCACTTTACGATTTGCTGGAACCTTTCGGCGTCCTGGAATTGATGCGCACCGGCAGGGTTGCAATGGTGCGTGGCCTGACAGATGCGAAGGTTAGCGACGATCTTGTGCTCGTCTACCACGGCGACCATCTTAAGGCAAACGAAGCCTACGAATTGGGCTCATATTAGGTAAAATGCCGAACTTGATCGGCACAAACTCGAAATTGAACTAAGGAAGGAATATTGCTGCAATGGTAAATGTTTACTACGACCAGGACGCGGATTTGGGCGCGTTGGAAGGCAAGACTATTGGCATTATCGGCTATGGCAGCCAGGGCCATGCGCACGCACTCAATCTTCGAGACAACGGACAGAAGGTAATGGTTGGTCTCTATCCCGGCAGCCGTAGCCGGGACGTGGCGGCGGCCGAAGGGCTTGAAGTTGCCGATGTGCCTGAAGTGGCGGAAAAGTCTGACGTGGTGATGATACTGATTCCCGACCACGTCCAGGGAGAAACCTACCGGGAGCAGATAGCCCCTAACCTCAAGCAGGGCGCCGCGTTGATGTTTGCCCACGGCTTCAGCATCCACTACCGGGAAGTTGTTCCCCCGGAAAATGTGGACGTGATGATGGTCGCCCCCAAGGCGCCCGGCCACCGTATGCGTGAACTCTTCGTGGAAGGCGTTGGAGTGCCCTCTCTTTTGGCGGTGCATCAGGACGCTTCCGGCAACGGCAAGGCGATAGGGCTGGCTTATGCCAAGGGTATTGGCTGCACCGGAGCCGGAGTGCTGGAGACAACTTTCAAGGACGAAACTGAAAGCGACCTGTTCGGTGAGCAGAGCATTCTCTGCGGAGGCGTAACAGCGCTGGTCAACGCTGCCTTCGAAACGCTGGTAGAGGCCGGCTATCCCCAGGAGATCGCCTACTTCGAGTGCTTGCACGAACTCAAGATGATCGTTGACCTGATGTACCAGGGCGGTCACAACTACATGCACTTCTCTGTCAGCGACACCGCGGAATATGGTTCTCTTAGCCGCCGCGACCGGATAATTGACGAGCACGTGCGCGAGAACATGCGGGCCGTGCTGCGGGAAATCCAGGACGGCACTTTCGCCCGTGAATGGATAACCGAGAACCACGAAGGTCGGCCACGGTTTGGTCCCATGCGGGAGGCGGCCCAGACCGCTCCCATCGAGAATATTGGCAAAGAGCTGCGGGCAATGATGCCCTGGATGGACCCCAAATAGAGAAAACCCTTTCTGTGAGTTGATCCCAGGAATCCCCTTGGTCAGGGAAAGTTCATGACGCTGCATTGGCAGCAGGCGCCGGTAAACACCCCGGCAGGAGGTAACAAAATGAATGCGGAGGTAACTTGCATAGCAGTTCACCATCGTACGCTGGTCTTGGCTGGGCTGGCTGCGGTGGACTGCGTGACCCTGGCCTCCCTTTCCCGCAAAAGTTGTTAACCCATCTCACAAACTATAGATAAGAAGGAAAGGTAAGGTTATGGCTAACGACTCTGTCAGGTTTCTGGATACCACCCTCCGCGATGGAGAGCAGTCTGCCGGAATCGGCATGACTGTGGACGAGAAAATCGAAATTGCCAAGCAACTGCAAAAGCTGAACGTCGACATCATCGAGGCAGGCTTTGCAGCAAGTTCGCCGGGTGATTTTCAGGCAGTCAGCACCATTGCCAGGGAAGTCCGTGGGCCGGTGATTTGTTCCCTGGCCAGGGCTCATCCTAATGATGTGGATCAAGCCTGGGAAGCCATTAAGGGCGCCGAGTCTCCTCGTATTCACGTGTTCCTGTCTTCATCGGACATTCAGGTGATGCATCAGCTTCGAAAGAACCGGGAAGAAGTTATTGAAATGGCCGTCACCATGGTGGAGCGGGCAAAGAGTCATTGCAGTGACGTCGAGTTTTCTCCAATGGACGCCACTCGTACCAATCCCGAATACCTGTTTCAAATGCTAGAGGCGGTAATCCGCGCCGGCGCCACCACGGTCAACATCGCTGACACGGTGGGTTACGCTATCCCGTCAGACTTTGCCCGGCTGCTCCGGGAAGTTCAAGAGAAGGTAACCGGCATGGACAAGGTTACCCTCAGCGTGCATTGTCACAACGATCTGGGATTGGCAGTATCCAATAGCCTGGCCGCCGTCGAAGCCGGCGCCCGCCAGGTGGAGGGTTGCATCAACGGTATCGGCGAACGTGCCGGCAACGCCTCTCTGGAAGAGATAATTATGGGGTTGGATACCCGCAAGGACTTGTTTAATGTGGACATCAATGTCGACACCACCCAGCTCTACCCCACCAGCCGCCTGGTCAGCCGGATCACCGGAATGTCAGTTCAGGCCAACAAGGCGGTAGTTGGTGAAAACGCCTTCCGCCATGCTTCGGGTATCCACCAGGACGGAGTATTGAAGGATCGCTCCACCTACGAAGTTATGCAGCCGGAACGGGTAGGGGTGCCCGGCAATAGCCTGGTGTTGGGCAAGCTGAGCGGTCGCGCGGGCCTGCAGTCCCGTCTTGAAGCCTTGGGATACAGTCTTTCCCGGGAAGAGGTCACCACCGTTTTCGAGTCCTTCAAGGAACTGGCCGACAAGAAGCGGGAGGTTACCGACCGCGATCTGGAAATCCTGATGGATGAGGAAAAGCGGAGCGCCAGCGAACCAGTCAGTTACCTGCTGGAGCACATCCACTTTTCCAGTGGCGACCATGATATCCCGACCGCCACCGTAAAATTGGTCGATTCGACCGGCAACGAAGTTGTGGACGCCTCCACCGGTAACGGTCCCGTTGACGCGGCCTGCAAGGCCATAGACCGGGTCATCGGCTGCTCCGCCAAGCTGGTGGACTTCAATGTCCAGTCAGTTAGCGAAGGGCTGGATTCCATCGGTACGGTTACGGTCCGCATTGAGAACGATGGCCGCACTTTCTTCGGGCGGGGCGCTTCAACTGACATTATTGTGGCCAGTGCAAAGGCCTACCTCAGCGCCGTCAACAGAATGCTGGCCGCCGACGAGGAAGCCAACCTCCCGGCCGTGGGAACTACACCGGACTAGGTTCGATTTCAGGTCAGCGCAAAGAATAGGGGCGGGCGCCGTAGCACCCGCCCTTTCTCTTTTCCGTGTTTTGGAAAAACGCCGGAATCCAGGACCGCGCCACATGAAATAACGGCCGCTCGGATCGTCCTGTTATTTCACTCTCTTTCCAAGCTCTTCTCGAACAGTCTGTCGCATGGATTCCGAAACCTCTCCAACTACTAAACCAGCTTCATCTGAAAACCACCGTTGTCCTGCTGGCCATTTTTCCCATCCAGGTGCACCGCCGGGTAACCCAGGGTTCGAAGGTGGGCGGCCAGGTCGGGAAAACCGTTGACGGTATAGACCTGTTGAGGCCGTACCCTTTCCACATATCCCACAAGGTCGTTGAAGTCCGCGTGGTCGCTGTAGGCCAGACTGGCATCGCCGCGGCGTCCCCAGCCACGGCCACCTTTGCCGGAGGCCCAGCCCGTTAACTCCATATACCGCTTTCCGAATGCCAGATTCATCTCTCGAGCCTTCCGGAATCCAGGTGGGCATACCAGCACCTGTCCCTCGGCCCAGTGGCCGTTGAGGCAGGAAAACTCCCCGGGAAATTCCACTCCCGCTTCCTGGTACAGTTCCGTCACCTGGAAAATGCTCTCCTCTACCACCAACTCAAAGCCCTGGGCCAAGAGGTGGTGCATAATCTCCTGGGCCTTCCCCAGGCGCCATCCCTGAACGACGGGACGTTCCCCCTTGGAGAGCCACATCCCCAGCGTATTAAATGCCGTTTCGAGCACTTTTTCCTCGGCAGGGAAGACGTACTCCGGCTTGCCGTAAGTAGATTCGATAACCAGCGTGTCGCACTCCACGGGTTCCAGGGGTTCGTTGATTGGACTGGGCCGGGATTTGAAGTCTCCCGTATAGAGCAGTCGTTCTCCGGTCAACTTGCTGGTAATCAGAGCCTGGGCCGAACCCAGGCAGTGACCAGCCGGGTATAGGGTTAGAGTGTAGTCACCTCGGTCCAGCGGTTCCCCGTATCCAAGGGCTATGGGGTCCGAGCGCTTTAAATAGTCGGACAAGAGGAGGCGGGTGTTTCCTGTCAGGACCGGACGCAGGTGCCTCGCAGTATGGTCGGAGTGGGCGTGGGAGATAAGGCCAAACTCCCGCTTGCGTAGGGAATCCAGCCACAGGTCAAGCTCGGGGAGGTAAACTCCCCGCTGAAAGGTCGCTTCCATTGGAATAATTTACCACACTGGCCGGCATGACTGCAGGGCGGATGTCACATTAAAGCTACGGTTTGGCTTCCATGCTATCTATTTTTGTCTGAACACCCATACTCATCGAATCTGGATTGACACCCCCAGACCCATTGCCTAGACTAAGCCCATCCAGACTTCCAAACCTTTTCCATACTTCGGATTGGCCCCGATAGGCCAGGGAGGTTTCAAATGACAACCACCGCCGAGAAAAGATACAACGTGGTTGGCACCCGTCCGGCGCGCCACGATGGTTACGATAAAGTCACCGGGGCAGCGCGGTTCGGCGCCGACCTGAACTTGCCAGGAATGCTGCACGGCAAGATTCTCAGGAGCCCCTACGCCCACGCCCGGATTCGCAGCATCGATACCACCAAGGCCGAAGCCCTGCCCGGCGTGATGGCAGTAGCAACTGCTCAGGACTTCCCCATAGTCCAGCAGCGGCCAAAAATAGACTTTGAAAACGCGCAAAGTAATCCGCGAATTATTGCGGAAAACATCCTGGCCGACCTAAAGGTCCTTTATCGTGGACATGCTGTTGCAGCAGTCGCCGCTACAAATCCCCACGTGGCAGAAGAGGCCCTTTCCCTCATCGAGGTTGACTACGAAGTCTTGCCCGTCGTGCTGGATCTGCACGAAGCGCTTAAGGACGACGCACCGCTGCTGCACGACGACATGACCACCCGCTTCCGGGTCGAGCGGTTTGGCCCCGGGGACGATACCGGGGAACGCAGCAACATTGCCGGACATTTGCAGCACAGATTGGGCGATGTGGAACAGGGATTCGCTGAAGCTGACGTAATCATCGAACGCGAATATGAAACCCAGACGGTGCACCAAGGATACATTGAACCCCACGTCGCCACTTCCCAGTGGTCTACCGACGGGCGATTGACGGTCTGGACCAGCACCCAGGGCGCCTTTGCCGTTCGCTCCACCACCGCCTCAATCCTCGCCGTGCCCGAATCTATGGTGAAAGTGGTCCCCATGGAAATTGGCGGCGGATTTGGCGCCAAGGGCGTGACCTATCTGGCCCCGGTAACTGCTGTTCTTGCCAAGAAGACTGGTCGACCGGTCAAGATCGCCATGAGCCGGAAAGAGGTCTTTGAAGGAAGCGGTCCGGCCTCAGCTACTTTCATGAAGGTGAAAATCGGCGCGAGGAAAGACGGGGTGATCACTGCTGGTCAGGTCCACATGGTTTACGAAGCCGGCGCCTTTCCCGGAGCTCCGGTGGGCGGCGGCGCCATCACGGGTTTTGGGTCCTACAACATTGAAAACGTGCTGGTTGACGGCTACGACGTGGTCTGCAACAAGCAGAAGGCCCAGTCTTACCGGGCGCCAGGCCAACCCCAGGCTAACTTCACCGTGGAGTGCGCCATTGATGAGCTGGCAGACGAGCTGGGGATGGACGCCATGGAACTGCGCTTGAAGAATGCAGTCAAAGAAGGTGACCGGATGCCCAATGGCGTCCCCCACTCGGTTTTTGGTTGCGTCGAAGTCGAAGAAGCCATGAAGAATCATCCCCACTACAACGCGCCCCTTGGCGGGCCCAATCGCGGCCGAGGTGTTGCAGTGGCTTTCCGCGCCCAGGGTGGCCAGACCTCGTCGGCCACCATTAACGTTAACAGTAACGGAACCATCAACATAATTACCGGTTCTGTGGACATCGGGGGGACCAGGACCGCCATTGCCATGCAGGCTGCCGAGGTCCTGGGCATCTCGTCAGAGGATGTAAACCCCTCTGTAGGTGATACCGACAGCGTGGGCTACACGGCTAATACCGGCGGTAGCCGTACCGCTTTCGATACCGGGCTCGCCGCCATTGCTGCCGCTGAGGAAGTCAAAGAGCGTATGAAGGGGCGGGCCGCCTTGCTATGGGAAGTCGAGGACGAAGATGTGGACTTCCAGGATGGAGCTTTCGTTTGTGCCAAGACCGAGGATCGTCTTACCTTTAAAGAACTTGCAACTCGACTCATGCGTACCGGCGGTCCCGTGACTGCTTCCACGTCAGCCGCTTCCACCGGCGTGGGCCCGATATTCGCCGGTAACATCGTGGACGTCGAGGTAGACCCGGAGACTGGAAAGGTTGACATAATTCGTTTCACAGCGTTCCTGGATGCAGGGCAGGCGGTACATCCCAGCTTCGTTGAAGGACAGATTCAAGGGGCCACGGTGCAGGGAATCGGTTGGGCGTTGAATGAAGAGTATTTCTTCACTCCCGACGGAACCATGGCTAATTCCAGCTTCCTGGATTACCGGATGCCCACTACCCTGGACATGCCCATGATCGATGCTGTAATCATCGAAGTGCCGAATCCTCGCCATCCCTTCGGTCTGCGGGGCGTGGGTGAAGGACCCATTATTCCGCCCCTGGCCGCCGTGGCCAATGCGGTTTATCATGCCACCGGCGCCCGGATCCGAAAATTGCCCATAACCCCCGGAGCAGTACTGGAGGCTCTGGCAGAGAAGAATGGGAGTTAAAGAGAGAGGCTAAGTCCGGAGAAAAACGACAGGGGCGGGATTCAATCCCGCCCCTGTCTTCGACCCGCAAAGGGGTACGGCCACGGTGGTCGCACTTTTAGGGCTCTTCTAGCCCACAGTCGCCGGCTCCATCGCCTCAACCTTGGTGATAAATTCCAGTAGTTGGGCTGAATAGAATGTTGCCTTCATGTGGTAGCGGTTGGTGGCTGCTATGCCGGGGAAAGTGTGGTCGTGCTGTCCGATGATGTCCCATTCCTCGTGGGTCCACGCCGACGGTCGCAGTTCCGAGTTTGGTATCAGACGGTGCGCGCTTTCCGCCGCCGACTTGTGGTGCACCTCGTCGGGCGTGTTGCCCTCGAACAACACCACCGGGCAGGCGATTCCGGCCAACTGCGCCTCGGTGAGTTCGCCGACCGGGTTGGGAACCGAGTAGGTATCCCGCCATTGGCTCATTATAGCGATGAACTCTGACGGGTCCATGGATAGCAGTTTTTCCTCGTTGGCCGGGTTGTCCTTAATGCGTTGGGCAAAGTATTCCGTCGCCGCTACCGCTGGCATCCCGCCCTGCTGCGCTGCCGTGATTAATTGGCCGTAGTAGTTGGGGGCGGTTTCGGCGGCGCTGTTGGGACCGCCGCTGACCTCCCAAACAAACACGCCCTTTACAACCTCGGGGCGCAATGCTGCCATGGTCAGGCTGGTGCGGGAACCGGCCGAACCGCCCACCGCGTAGGCCGGGGCGGCGCCTAGTTGCAACAACAAATCGGCCATCTCCTTGGCCCAACTGTGCTGTTCCGAAGGCTCATCGTCAATAACTACGTCCGACTTGCCGCAGTTGCGCCGGTCGTGCAGGATGACTCGGCAGTGCGCGGACAACAGGGCGGCGATAGGTCGCAAGCCATTGGTGTCGTTCCGGCCGCCGGGAGTCAGAATCACCGCTGGGCCGGACCTGGGGCCGTAGTCTTCGTAATACAGGTTTATTCCGTTCACATTGGCGTAAGGCATGGCATTCCTCCCATAAATTGTTCTGTGATTTACCCGGAGACATAGGGATTGCCGAACCGCTCTCGGTGGGCAATCTCCTCCATAGGTTTACGGGGTACACTGGGTCGGCCCGAGGGCAGCCCGGTTCGGTACCCATAGGGCATCAGCGTGATGAGGTGGAAGTCAGGAGGTATACCCAGCACCTCCTTCACTCCTACTTGCTGCTCTTCGGCGCGAACTCCCACAAAGCAGGTGCCCAGTCCTTCGTCCCAAGCCACCAGCTCCATCTGCTGGAGAGCACGCCCGGCGTCAAGCTGAGGTCTGGGGGCCCCCGGAGACATTAGGATAGCTATCACCAGAGGGGCCTGCGCGATAAATGCCCCTTGGGTCGCGACCTCTGCCAGTTTGGCAATGGTATCAGCGTTGGTGACCACCACGAAGTTCCACGGCTGAGAGTTGCTGGAACTGGGGGCCCAGCGGCCCGCCCGCAGAATTTTCATGATCACAGATTCGGGCACCGGATCGGGCTTATACTGTCGTACCGTCCTCCGGCTGCGAATGCATTCGTAGACTTCCATTCTTTCCTCCAAGGCCTTTGGGACATGATGTGAGGTTGGTCTGCATTATGGCACGGGCATCGATGGTTGGGTAGACGCCAGATTCCTCCATTCACCGTCATTCGTGATTGGTACCATGCGCCATTAGTACCGCGCCTTCTTATGGAGTATAATCAGGGCGCTATTCCGCACGAGGTGCGGACCATTACCCATCTTGCAGAGGTGATATATGCCAGCAGAAATTGGCGATGTTGCGCCTGACTTCAAATTGCCTTCGGTGAGTGAGGGCGACTTTACCCTCAGCCAGTTCAAAGGCGACAAAAGGGTCATTTTATCCTTCCACGTCTTTGACTTTACCTCTGGTTGAACCACGCAAGCTACCTCTTTCCGGTCCTTCTATGACCGGTTCCAAGAGGCGAATGCCCAAGTTATGGGCATCAGCTGCGACCACGTTGCCGCCCACCGGGCCTGGAGCACCGCCATGGGTGGACTGCCCTACCCTGAGTTGTCCGATTGGCACCCCAAGGGTGAAGTAACCACCGCCTACGGCTTGTGGAATGAGGAGCGGGGCGCCGGCACGCGGGCCGTTATCATTGTGGATAAGGACGGGGTAGTCCGGTTCCGGGAAACCTACGCTCCGGGCACACTCCCTAACCCCGAAATGGTGCTGGAGGAACTTAACAAGCTGGATTAGTGATTTTTTAACCAGGGCCGTTTCCATAGCAATTCACAGAATTAGGGAACGCGGAAGAGGGGTGAGTTTGACTCACCCCTCTTATTTGCTTCCATATTGGAACCCTCTTGGCCAACCTGGCCACCGAGCATCCAACAGTCTGGGCCGAAAAAGGCGTTAAGCGCCGATTTTTTCTATCAGGTAACTAAGGGCACCCTTAGGCACCGTGATGTTCACCGTGTCTCCTACCGTCCGGTCAAGCAGCGCCTGTCCGACCGGGGAAACTGTGGAAATCTTACCCGAAGATGCGTCGGCTTCCCGTTTGTCCACAAGAGTATAGTTAATTCTCTTCCCGGATGAGACGTCCTTGATGGTGATGCTGCTGCCCACCACAACTCTCTTGCCCGCGTTGGCCTGGGCTTCACCAGAAAGTATCTGTGCGCTGGCGACTTCAGTTTCCAACTCCCTGATTTTGGCTGCTACGAATCCCTGACGTTCTTTTGCAGCGTCCAGCGGCGCGTTTTCCCGGAAGTCCTTGCCGGCCATGGCCTCCTTGACTTCCGAGTCCGCCTTCACCTTTTCTACCTTGTACTTGTCCAGTTCCGCGATCAACCGGTTGTAACCTTCCTCGCTAAGACGAGGCCCAGACCGGCCATTAGCGGCCGCAGTCTGTCGCCCTGACAAGGTTCGACGGGCCCGGCTGGCTCTCAAATGGACGGCAAGGTTTATTTCGATCCATTCCATCTTTCTCAGAAAGACGAGAAATTCCTTTACAGGAGTCAGGCGCTTCTGCGCTTCAGCTCCCCGCAGGGAAAATTCTCGAGCGTACCCTTCGACCAAGCTGGGAGAAAGGTCGTTTACTTTCCGGTCTCGTCCGTACCAATCAATGAATCGGATTATCTCCTGGTGCCCATCCATGGGTTTCTTGGCGTTCTTACCGCTTTTTTTGTCTGCAACAAACAGGCCAAGAGCTTCGTGTAAGTTTGAAGGAGCCGCCTTTTCCAAAGTATCTGCAGGAGTAGCGACGGATTCGGCGGCAATATTGTTGGGCGTAACCAAAAGGGTACCTCCTTAAGAATTCTGAAAAAGCGACTTCATTCAGACCGCGGAATAAGCGACCGGTGCCTGACGCCAGCTAGGCGGTTGTCGATCACGGAGGCTTCTCCCCTCGCTCCTGGGAAATCGATGGTCCTTCCAAAAGGTCTGGTAATGTGAACGCCCCACCGTTCTGCGACAACAACCAAGGTTAATAAAAGTCTCACTAGAAAGGGAAGCAGAAGTCACGAAGCGCGACCGTGGCCCCATTTGCTGGAAGCACGTAGAGCCTCTCCACTGTAGGGGATTTCTACTCACTGCCCTCAGGTCCTTTCACTGAAAGTACTGCGGTGTCGAAGAGGAGAGGGAACTGCTAAATTGTCTGTATGGTAACAGTTATTGCAGGCACTGGCAATTCGGCCTACGGTGTTGCTTAAGGGGCGGTGTTGCCTAAAAGTATGTTGCTCTCGATGGCCAGATTGAATATGTACCCGCCGTGCCATTGCCATTCCATTGGCACACATTCGGGATGCCAGGAAGGTCTTCAAATTCGTCGAATGATTGCCTGGCAACAACGCCGGATGCCGGAGCCCCGAAATTCCCTGGAATGCATCGGTTCCAATAGGTGGTCAGGGTTTTGCCCAATCCCCATGGGACGTTTTCGGTTCGGGGTCAAGGGTCGGAGTTGGCGCTCCTGATGTTATACTACGGCTGGCACGTAGAAATGAATGATAGCTTCGACACTCATTCCAGATAAGAGGAGCAAGCATGAAAGCCGTACAGATAGATGAATTCGGCGGGCCCGAGGTAATGCAATACCGGGACATCGCCGAATTGACTCCTGGTGAAGCAGATGCCTTGGTGGAGATTCAGGCAGTCGGCGTCAACTTTACCGATATTTACAGCCGAGCTGGTATCAACCCTGGGCCGCCCTTGCCCCGGACAATAGGAGTAGAAGGCGCGGGTGTTGTTCGGGCTGTTGGGTCGGGCGTAACCGACCTGAGGGAGGGCGATGTTGTCGCTTACAGCAGCAGCCAGGGATCCTATGCAGAACAGGCAGTCGTCCCTGCAGCCCGGTTGGTGAAAATGCCAGAAGGCCTCGGCGCCAAAGAAGGTGCTGCTGCAATGCTCCAGGGCATGACGGCTCATTACCTTTGTCACTCCACCTACCCGGTGCAGCCTGGCGACAAAGTGCTAGTTCACGCCGGCGCCGGTGGGGTAGGCTTGCTCCTTATCCAGATGGTCAAGAAATTGGGGGGGTATGTCTTTTCAACAGTATCCACGGAAGAAAAAGCTGAACTGGCTCGGAGTGCAGGCGCCGACCACGTTATTATCTATACCCAAGAAGACTTTGCAGATGTTATCAAGGATGCAACCAACGGCGCGGGTTTGCAGGCGGTCTACGATGCCGTAGGCCTCACGACGTTTGACAAGAGTATCAGTTGCCTGGCCAGGCGAGGCTACATGGTCCTTTACGGTCAGGCCAGTGGCGTTGTGCCGCCCATTGACCCCAGGATCTTAGGCAATGGCTCCCTGTATTTGACCCGCCCGGGTCTAGGTGATTACACGGTGACCCAGGAAGAATTGCGACAGCGGGCCGGAGATGTTTTGGGGTGGGTACTTTCCGGTGAATTGAAGCTAAGGGTGGAACACCTTTTCCAACTTGCGGAGGCCCCTGAGGCTCACCGGCAGTTGGCGTCCAGGGCAACCACGGGTAAGCTCCTGTTGATCCCTTAACGTTACCCTTCCTTGGTCAAGACTTCTGGATGTGGGCACAATGTTTGTGTTGGCCGCGGACTGCAACAGACACTTATGCCTTTTGCCAGTCGTTGACCCTGGGGGCAGGGTTCCATATACTGAATCCAGTCCATTTGGATAAGGAGGCATTATGCCGGCCGAACTGACAAGCGAAGAAATCTACGAGGCTCTCAAGACCGTTTATGATCCGGAAATTCCTGTCAATGTTGTTGACCTGGGTCTCATCTACGACGTGCAGGTCACTGACGAGAACAATGTATTCGTCCAGATGACGCTTACCTTTCCCGGTTGCGGAATGGGGCCCCACATTTGCTCAGCAGGCAGAGTGGGCCATCCAGGATCTCGACGGGGTTGAAGAAGTGGAAATCGAGCTGACCTTTGACCCGCCCTGGTCCCCCGAAATGATCAGTGAAGAAGCCCGCATGATGCTTGGCATCTAACAGTGCTCAATAACCCAAAGAAGGTTCGCTTGGTCGGTCAGTTTAGCCGGCTCGGCTGAGAGGATATATGACGACGCCCCAGGATAATGCACGGCTGGAGCAGATCAAGCGCAGTTGGCAGCAGAAACGACAGATTACTGAACGCTTGTCGACCATAAAGACTAAGATTGGTGTCTACAGTGGCAAGGGCGGGGTGGGCAAGACCACCGTTGCGGTAAATTTGGCGGCAACTCTGGCCCAGGACGGAAATAGTGTCGGCCTTTTGGACGTGGACATCGACTGTCCCAACGTAACCAAGGTGTTGGGTGTAACCGAAAAGGCAGACTACGTTAACGGCCAAATCATTCCGGCGGAAAAGTGGGGCGTAAAGGTAATTTCCATGTCCTTTTTCCAAGAGAAGGAAGACGAAGCAATTATCTGGCGCGGTCCCATGATTTCACAACGCCATTAACCAGTTCCTTCAATCGACTGACTGGGGCGATCTGGACTATCTAATAGTGGATATGCCCCCCGGTACTTCCGACTCGCCCTTAACGGTAATGCAGACCTTGCCAATGGATGGTTTTGTGGTGGTCAGTACCCCCCAGGAACTGGCCAACATTGATGCCAAACGGTGCATCAACATGATCCGCAAGCTGAACCTGAACGTGGTAGGTATTGTGGAAAACTACACGGGGGACATCTTCGGGCAAGGCGGCGGCGAAAACCTGGCTAAAGAGGTCGACGCCCCTTACCTCGGAGCGCTTGAGTTGAGGTCTGCTTACCGGGACAGCAGTTGCCCCACTGCGCTCCTTGACTCGGCAGTGGGAGAAGAGTTTTCTCACTTGGTGGAAGGAATGAAGAGCAGCCTGAAGGCGCTGGGAAGGGAACCGGGTTAGACCTATTCAGACTAGACTTGGCAAACGCTTAAGCTTGCCTAAGGGGTCTAGTCAACCTCCAAGGGAACAACAGGGGCTTCGGATGCCTTTTCCGGAGTCCCTTTTCTTGGCGTAGACATTTTGGCGACGGAGCGGCGCGAATTAGCCGAGATTTGTAACAACAATTCCACTTCCCGGTCCATTGCTTCCTGCGAATAGGCGCTGGATTCCCCCATTTGCCGGAATTTCTTATACCGCTCTCCGACCAACTTGCTTGGCGAGTGCCTGGAAACCTCCTTAATTCGTCTGGAGATTTCATTCTTCAGGATTGAACCAGCCTCCTTGGGGTTATTGTGTGCTCCGTTCAGGGGCTCTGAAACTATTGAATCGATGATGCCCAATTCCAGGCAATCTCGCGCCGTAAGCATAAGGGCTTCCGCTGCTTCTCGATCCAATTCGGGGTCCCCATAAGGTCCCCCTGGCGTGCGGTTCAATGAGATAGGGGAGAAAATTGCGTATTGCTGCATTATTATGCGGTCTGAGATGCCGAGAGCCAGGGCCCCCTCATTGCCTCCTTCGCCTATGATGGCGGAAACTATAGGGACGCGCGCTTCCAACATGGTGGAGAGAGTGGTGGCAATGGCATTGCCAATTCCGTGCTCCTCCGCTTCCAGCCCCGGGTCTGCTCCCTGAGTATCGATGAAAGTAACAATAGGCAGTTTGAACCTCACTGCCAGGCTTATCAGCTTTTGGGCCTTTCGCAATCCCTCCGGATTGACATGATACCTGGCTCCATCCAGTGAATAGGGTCTCTGCTGGCCTATCGCAGCAACAGGTTTGTCGAAGAGGTAACCCACTCCGGTTACTATGGACCCGTCGTCTCCGCTAAGACGGTCACCGTGCAATTCAAAAAATTGGCCCAGGACATTTGCGGATGTAGTAGGTTGCCGAGGGCCGTTCGCCATGCCTGGTAATTCCCGCCGCTTCCCACACTTCGGGGTCGGGCCCCACCGCACGCCGGTTTCTTGCTGGCGGCTGAAATTCACCCTTGCCAAGCTTCTGACTGGTAAGCATTTTCAGCAGGGTTGTCAATCGAACCTTTAGTGACTCCCGGTCAATTACGTTGTCGAGCAATCCGTGTTCCAGGTGGGACTCTGCAGTGTGCGCATCCGGGGGCAATGGAGTTGCGGATAATTCTCGCAGAGCTCGAAGTGGAGACAGTCCAATGAGCGACCCTGGTTCCGCCAGGATGACGTCAGCCAGATTGGCAAAGCTGGCATAGGCCTGGCCCGTCGAAGGATTGGCCAACACAACGATGAAAGGAAGTCCCTTTGACTTGAACCGGTTGGCCGCTGTCACGGTCTTGGCCATCTGCATTAAAGAGAGCACGCCCTCCTGGATACGGGCCCCACCTCCGGTTACCACAGCCACCAGGGGCAAGTCCTGGCGAGCAGCCGCTTCCAGCCCTAATGCGATCTTCTCGCCCACCACGCTACCCATGCTTCCGCCCATGAAGCCAAAGTCCAGAACAACCAGCATTATCCTGATGCCGTCAATACGGCACGTTCCGGTTACCGTGGCCTCGGTTAAGCCAGTACGATTCTGGTCCTTGCTTACGAGATTGCGGTAGGGCCCCCGTTGCGAAAATGAAATTGGCGCCAGGGAATTGAGGTACTTGTGGGATTCCTTGAAGCTCCTTCTATCAGCCAGGAGTTGGATTCTCTGGCGAGCGGATAAGGAATAGTGGAAGCGGCAGTAAGGACAAACGCGATAATTCTTATAGGCGGTCGTGTCGGCAATCTCCTCTTCACAGAACAGGCAACGATCATGGACGGAGGACGGAAAGATCCGATCCATCCTTCCCTGACGGTTAAATAAGTGAACCAGAAGGTTGCCGAGGTTTCTCAATTCCTTTTCCAGCCTGATGTGTTTATGACGACAGCAGCCGCTCCGAGGGTCAAGGCATTGTACATCTCTGGTTGATAGAGAACGGTTTATAGATGATACAACTTTCTGGCCGCTCAAGGAAGGATAATAGTTGTTCCAACTGGAAATCGCTTGCGGGGCTACCTAGTAGACCCCATTCATTGTATAATGTGCGAGCCTCCTCCCACTAGGTGGGCCGATGGCTGCTGCCTGCGCCAATCGTATGGTCAATGTGTGTAAAGAATAGGGAGTTGGCTTATAAATCTCATATCGAGGCAGCGAAGAATTACTTCGGTGGGGAGTTCGAAGAGCACCTAGAGCGGGTCGAAAGGATGAATCTCCAGTCCCAATAAATGGACTTCAGCGAGGACAACTCCCCCAAGTATCATGGCAGTGGGAGACGAAGTCATCGGTCCCGCCGTAGCCCACGACCCCCAGAATGCATTCGAGCACCTGCTGTAGGACAAAGGAGCCTTGGTGAGGTTGAATACGAATCATCAATGGCCAGCCCATCATGAACCGGTCAGCCCCGATGCATTCCATTTTCGGCGCTACTCAGAAAGAGGTTAAGGACTTCTCTTTAATCGTAAAGCCACTACTCACTCTCCCAGGCCAGGAGACAAGTGGCTCAACTTGGAAAACGCCAACATCCTAATGTCTGCTGTCCATTCACATCAATGTAACCTGCTTCGGGCCCGGAAGGTATCGACCCCTCAAAAGGGTCTTGTTTCATGATAGAAAACTAGTGAAGAACTCAGATGGCCGAGTCAGTAGCTTAGCCTATCCTGGCAACTGGTTAAGGCCGTTAATATTTACTTAGTAAGGAGAGGAAAATGGCAGAAGATGCCAAGATAATTTACACGGAAACTGATGAGGCTCCCGCCTTGGCTACGCACTCGCTGCTGCCAATTCTCCAGGTTTTCACCAAGGGTTCGGGTATCGAACTGGAAACTTGGGATATCTCGTTGTCTGGGCGTATTATCGCCAATTTCCCGGATAAACTGACGGAAGAGCAAAAAATCCCCGACTATCTTCGCATGTGCGGCGAGTTGTGCTTGGAGCTGTCAGCGAACCTTGTAAAGCTGCCCAATATCAGCGCCTCAATTCCCCAGCTGAAGACTGCGATCGCGGAACTGCAGGACAAGGGCTACGATATTCCTGACTACCCTGACGAACCTGCGACGGACGAGGAACGCGAGGTCCAGGTTCGCTATTCCAGGGTGCTGGGCAGCGCAGTCAACCCGGTCATACGGGAAGGGAACTCCGACCGACGGTCCGCCACGGCAGTGAAGGAGCATGGCAAACGGAATCCTCATCGGATGATGCAGGACTGGCCGGACGTATCCAAAACTCGTGTTGGACACATGAACAGCGGGGACTTCTACGGTAGTGAAGTTGCCGTTACGACGACAGAGGCCGGGACCGCCGCAATTGAGTTTGTAGCTGGTGACGGGACCGTTACGGTTCTCAAGTCCGGTATTCCTCTCCAGGCCGGAGAAATTATCGACTGCGCCGTGATGAATGTCAGGATGTTGCGCCAGTTTTTCGCCGACGAAATGGATAAAGCCAAGGCCGACGACGTTCTGCTGTCCCTCCATGTTAAGACCACCATGATGCGGGTGTCGGACCCGATTATTTTCGGCCATTGCGTGTCGGTTTTCTTCCAGGACTTGTTCCAAAAGCATGGCGAGGTGCTGGCCCAACTCGCGGTGGATCCGGACAACGGTGTTGCCGAACTCCTTACAAAGATTCAAGCTCTTCCTGAGGACAAGAGAGCGGAAATCGAGGCAGACATTCAGGTAATTTATGATAACCGCCCGGCACTGTCCATGGTGAATTCCAGCAGGGGAATCACCAACCTGCACGTACCAAGTGATACGATCATTGACGCTTCAATGCCCGTCATCATCCGCGATGGCGGACGCTCATGGGGTCCCGACAACGAATTGCACGACACCGTCGCGCTGATTCCTGATCGCTCCTACGCGACCCTATATCAAGCCTCAATTGACGACTGCAAGGAACATGGGGCGTATGATCCGTCCACCATCGGTAGCGTCGCCAATGTAGGGCTGATGGCCCAGGCAGCCGAAGAGTACGGATCCCACGATAAGACCTTTGAAGCTCCTGGCAACGGGTCGATCAGAGTCGTAGACGCGTCAGGAAAGCCACTTATGGAACAAATCGTCGAGGAAGGCGACATATTCCGTATGTGCCAGACAAAAGACGCTCCTATTCAGGACTGGGTCAGGCTTGGGGTCGCTCGGGCCAGGATCACAGGCCAGGCGGCCATATTCTGGTTGGATCCGAACCGGGCCCACGATGCTGAGTTGATCAAGAAAGTAAACCAGTATCTGCCCAGCCATGACACGACCGGTTTGGACATTAGCACAATGTCTCCCATCGATGCCGTGCGGGCGACGATGGCTCGCAGCCGAGCCGGCCAGGACACGATTGCAGTGACCGGCAACGTGTTGCGGGATTATTTGACCGATCTCTTCCCCATCCTGGAATTGGGCACCAGCGCCAAGATGCTTTCGGTCGTACCCCTTCTTAATGGCGGCGGTTTGTTCGAGACTGGCGCGGGTGGATCGGCGCCCAGGCATGTGCAGCAGTTCCTGGAAGAGGGACATCTACGGTGGGATTCGCTGGGAGAATTCTGCGCTCTGGTTGCCTCCTTTGAGCATTTCGGCGAGGCGCTAAACAGCGATAAGGCAAGACTGCTTGCGGAGACCCTCGATCAGGCGATAGGGGAGCACCTGGAGTACCAGAGGGCGCCCTCACGTCGGGTAAATGAGCTGGATACTCGCGGGAGCCATTTCTACCTCGCCCTTTACTGGGCGCAGATGCTGGCCAACCAGAACAAGGACCAGGAGATGCAAACCCGCTTCACCGAAGTAGCCCGGCAGTTGACTGACAGCGAAGAGAAAATCGTACAAGAGTTGAACGATTCTCAAGGACAGCCAGTTGATATCGGCGGCTATTACCGCCCCGACAGTGATTTGGCGGCCAAAGCCATGCGCCCCAGCGCAACCCTGAATGCGATTTTGGACGCAATCTAGTAGCACACTGACCTTCGGAGGCGTGGTTCTCAGCCGGTCGTTTCATAAGAACCTGAAAGCAAGGTGACTAACAGTCGCCTCTCTTCAACTGGAATTACCGAGGAGAGATATTAAATCAGGTTAATCTTGCCGGGACCTAGAGGGCGCCCTTAGGGCCCTTGCGATGCAAGCAGGAATCAACGCCAGGCTAATGTGGGCATTGCTATGGGGCTGTCCGCAATAATGCTGGCTGACAACGGAACCGAACCGTGCCGGTCAAGGATTGAAACGTGCTGAACAAGAACAAAGGGTACCGCTGTCCCTTGGTCTCATATGCTAGGCAGACGGCCAAACCAATCCAAATAAACGGAGGAGCACTAACCAGATGAGAAGCAAAGTAACCGTAGTAGGAGCCGGCAACGTGGGCGCTACTGCCGTTCAGCGAATTCACCAGTTGGGCTACGCCGATACCGTCCTGGTAGACGTAGTCGAAGACCTCCCCCAGGGAAAGGCCCTGGATATGCTGGAATCGGGACCGGTCATCGGATCTGACGCCCAGGTGATCGGCAGCAATGATTACGAGGCCACCGCTAATTCCGACGTGGTGGTCATCACGGCGGGAATTGCGCGGCGTCCCGGTATGAGTAGGGACGACCTCCTCTTGACCAACATGAACATCACCACGGCGGTAACCGAGCAGGTGGTCAAGTATTCCCCGAATTGCATCATCCTCCGCCGTTACCAACCCCTTGGATGCCATGTGCCAGAACATCCTCGAGTCCAGTGGTTTTCCCCGCAATCGGGTGTTTGGAATGGCGGGTGTGTTGGACACAGCCCGGTTCCGTACTTTTATTGCCCAGGAATTGAATGTCTCCGTAGAGGACGTTCAGGCTTATGTACTTGGCGGTCACGGCGATGACATGGTGCCTCTGGTCAGATACACCACGGTAGGTGGAATTCCTATTAGCGAAATGTTGTCCGAGGAAACCGTGGGAGCTCTGGTGCAGCGGACGCGCCAGGGTGGTGGCGAGATTGTTGCCCTGCTCAAGGCAGGTAGCGCCTTCTACGCTCCCTCAGCCTCGATAACCCAAATGGTGGAGGCCATTCTGCTGGACAAAAAGCGGATTTTACCCGGCTGCGCTTATCTGGAGGGCGAGTTCGGGATCAATGGGCTTTGCGTGGGAGTTCCCATTAAGGTCGGCGCAGGCGGCATGGAACAGGTAATCGAGATCAAGCTCATGGATCACGAGCAGAAGGCTCTCGAGGCTTCTGCGGCCAGCGTCCAGGAGTTGGTCGAAGTAATGCGAAATGCGAAGGCGCAGCAATCCTGACAATAATGACAAAGCAACATTATCGTCGGAGCACTCATCCACATTTCACATGAGTTGTGTGCTCCCTCTAACATAGCAAAAACAGAGTGGTTTGACGGCTTCAAGCGGATTCGCTTGAAGCCGTTCCTATGTGGGTGGTACACAAACAGTTCAGTTATTGTAAAATGGTATCAAGAGTATAAATTTATGCGTTGGTGGGAGGGTTAGAAAGTGGCTGGACGGAGCTCGCGAGAAAGGGAACTCTTGGACAAGGCGGCCCGGTACCTGCCCGGGGGTGGGTCGGGCAACACCAATTTTCCGGAATCGGTGAATTTTCTGGCCCGTGAAGGCAGGGGCTCCCACATTTGGGACGTTAGCGGAAACGAATACGTAGACTGGTTGATGGGTTCAGGGCCAATGGTCCTCGGCCATGCCCACCCCGCCGTAGTAGAAGCAGTCATTGAAGCTGTAGGGCAGGGCAGTACCTTCTTCACTACCAATGAAAAGGCCGTTTTGCTGGCTGAGGAACTTGTTAACTCTGTCCCATGCGCGGACAAGGTACGATTCACCACCAGCGGGACTGATGCATGCTTTCAATGTATGCGGGCGGCCAGGGCTTATCGGAAACGCGAAAAAGTGTTGAAATTCGAAGGCGGATTCCACGGCACAAGCGACTATGCGCTGATGAGCGTAACACCTTCCTCCGCGGAGGAGTTTCCCCAAGCCGTGCCAAATAGCGGAGGTATTCCCAAGGCCATTCAGGACTTGATGCTTGTAGCGCCCTACAATGACCTGGACACCACGGCCACCATCATTGAAGCGCACCATGACGAGTTGGCTGCCGTTATTGTCGAACCGGTCCAACGGATCATCTCACCCAAGTCCGGATTCCTGCAAGGGTTGAGAGAGCTGACCAAACGATACGATATTCGCCTGATCTTCGACGAAGTCGTACCGGATTCCGGTTGGAATACGGCGGGGCACAGGTATATTACGGGGTCACTCCTGACCTCTGCTCCATGGGTAAAATCATGGGCGGCGGTTATCCGCTGGCCGCAGTGATGGGGCGGGAAGACATAATGTCCGTGTATGACTCGGCCCTGGTCGATTCGGATGACTACGTAAACCAGATTGGAACCCTGAATGGCAATCCCGTTGCCTGCGCCGCTGGGTTGGCCACCCTCGCGGAACTCAGGAAAGAAGGAACATACGAGCGCCTGCGTGGTACAGGCAACAGACTGCGGGAAGGCTTGGTGGAGATCTGTTCAGAAAACGGCTTTACCGTTCAGAGTTGTGGAGAAGCTGCTATCTTCGACATTTACTTCTCTGACACCCCGGTTTACAACTATCGGGACGGTTTGGCTGCTGACGGCGGACTGATGAGTCGCCTCAACCACGGCATGCTGGAGAGAGGAATTTTGAAGGGCTGGCCCCAGAAATATTATCCTTCCCTGGCGCACACTGAAGAGGACGTGCAACGGACGTTGGATGCCGCCAGCGAAGTTGTGCCGACTCTGGTCAAGTAACTGGAATGGGTCACAAAGTCAGGGCGGCTGCGTTCGGCTAAAGCACAGTCCCTTTACCGAGATTGTGGGCAAAAGATTGAGGGGATAGGAAGTGCTATCCCCTCAATCTTGTGTGCGAATGGTTCAGCTTCCCTTGAGTGCTGTATGCCAGGTTCTTGACAAGCCATTTCGCTTTACCGGTCAGTCAGAGACCTTGATAGTACGTGGCAGCAGGAATAGTTATGAGGCGACGAGGTGCGAGGCGAAGTGGCAATGTGCCAGACCGCCGAGTGACTTTCGGTTGCCTCTAGCTCCACGGTTCGTTAATCATCACCAACTCGGCCAATACTGCGTACTCGCAACCAAGGGCTCTCCCCGACTGGCTGGCGTGAGTGGTGAGGATCTGGAATGTATTGGACGCGGCGGCGCCCAAGTTATCCAGGTAGGCTTGGTGCTGACGTAGTGACTCGAGACCTTGCTCCCAATAGCCAGACACATCTATACCATGGCGGGCAGTGGGTTGATCGACACCCAAGACCACCGCGAATCGGACACCGTTCCACGGTTCCAATCCTTCAGTCACCAACTCAGGGAAAATCCAGCGATTACCAGCGTCTCTGGCACCGTCGAGTGTCGCCAGACCTACGTTGCGATGGTCGGCCATGTTCAAGTGACCCGAGGAGAACTTCAGGTGGTAATTGAGTGTGATAAGAACATCGGGGCGATGCCGGCGTATGGCACGGCTTAAGTCCCGCCTCAATGGTAGCCCGTACTCAATTATGCCGTCTGGGTAGTTGAGGAACTCCACGACGTTCACCCCAACAACGGCGGCCGCGTTTATCTCTTCTCTGGCGCGTAAATATCCGACTTCCGATGGATGCATACTGTCAATGCCAGCTTCACCGCTGGACACCATCAAATACGTGACCTCTTTGCCCTGAGCCGTCCATTTGGCTATAGCGCTAGCTCCGCCGTATTCCAGATCGTCGGGATGGGCGACAATAGCCAACGCCTTTTGCCAGTCTTCAGGTACTTCAGGTATTGGTGCGACCGAAGGTTGCATAAGTCTCCATTTTCATCTAAGCCGAAGGCACTGGAGGGTAGCCAAATAGGCAGCCAAAGAAATGGCGGCGCAAACTTGGCGCCGCCGTCAAATTATCCTTTTTCAACTGCTATCCGCAATTTACGGGGTCTTTACCGACCTGCACCCAGCTTAACAGTCAACGGTTGAGTACTCATTATATGCTTTTGAAGGCCAAGCTCTTGTGGGGAGATGCCCATGGCCAGCCCGATGGCTTGAGGCATATGCAGAATAGGCAAGTCAACCTTACGCTTCAACTGGGCCGCCGCTTTTGGCTGGTACCCGTCGAGGTTGAGATGACAAAGGGGACATGGCGTGACCATGGCATCGGCACCCAAGTCCTTGGCCTCGGAAGTGTGTTTTCCCACCATCGCCATGGAGTTCTTCTCATTGATCGTCAGGATCGGAAAACCGCAACAGCGGGTCTTGCCCTCAAAGTCGACAACCGTAGCGCCCAAGGTCTCAATTAGCGTCTCCAGCGACGTCTGGCGTTCCGGATGCTCCTCGATGTCCAGCGCCTCAGTAGGACGCACTATGTAGCAGCCGTAAAAGGGGGCCATTCGAATTCCAGCCAATGGACGGGTAACAAGCTCGGTAACCTTGTCCAGTCCCACATCCTCAATCAGGATCCAAAGAAGATGCTTGGGCTCGGCAGTGCCCTTGTATTCCAATCCCTCTTCAGCCAAGTGGGAATTGATCTCTGTCAGGTATTCAGGGTCTTTGAGCATTCGCTTATTTGCCTGGGCCATAACGCCCTGGCAGGTGCTGCAAATGGTCAGAATGGGGAGGCCCATCTGTTCCGCCTTGGCAAAATTGCGGGCATTCAAGGTATCGCCAAAGAACTGGTTTTTCTCTTGCAATACTCCGGCCCCGGTGCAGGTCCAACCCGGAATCTCTTCCAGATCAATGCCGAGGCGGTCGCAGATCAATCTAGCTGCAGGATAGAGTTCCGGCGCGGCTCCCTGGGAAACGCAGCCGGGGAAGAAAGCATACTTCACTTTTGGATCCCTCCTGTTGATACACCTCGTGATAAGGCGCGGGCATGATCAGCTTGGTTGCAAGCTGCCGCTGAATCTGGTCAATCCAAGTGGATCGCCGATAAAGTGTAATATTGATTCCCTTCTTGTGGGTCAGCCAAAGGGCGAGTTCTTGCCAATCTGCGGGCCAGCCAAATCCGGTTCCAGCTTGCGGAACAATCGGCGCACGATTTCCACGTTCTCCACATTCTTGTGGCGTATGGGAGGCATCTTGCCATGAGTCAGGGCCCGCCAGCCTACGGGCGCGTAACTGAGCATGGCACCCACATTGGTTATCCCACCCGCTGTTTTTATGGGCAACCGGAGTTCATCCAGGCGACCGCTGTGACCTACCGATTCCGTAAATGCGCTGGTGTGGCGAGCGCCGTTATTGTTAGTGAATCCGGCGCTGACTGCCTGATCTCTCAGGGCCATGATGCGGTCCATCGGGGCCACGCCCTTGGGGCAGGCCTGGACACACTCGTTGCAGCGAGTGCAATCCCACATTCCCGTGGCCTCACTGAGGCTGCGCAGCCGATCTCGAGAAACCCCTTCCCGGTCTCCATCCCTGGGATCTGCCGTGAAGCGATATGCCTTGGCCAACGCCGCAGGTCCGAGGAAGGTAGGATCAACTTCCAGCACCGTGCAATCGGACACGCAGGCCCCGCACATAATGCAGGCAGTTACACCGGAAAGGTGGAGCATAGAATCGTTGGAGGCTACGTACTCGCCTTCCGGTTCTGCTCCCTGGGGCTGCAAATAGGGTTCCACTGCGCGGATCTTGTCCCAGAACATCTCAAAGTCCACTACCAGGTCCTTCATCACGCGCATAACGCCGGCGGGCTCCACCCTAACGGTGTTGTTCTCGTCGACAGCCAGGGCTAACGGCGTCTTGCAGGCCAACCCGGCATGGCCGTTGATCCGCATGGCGCAAGAACCACAGATAGCGCTGCGACACGAGCAACGCATTGTCAGGGTTCCGTCCAGCTCTTCCCTGATTTTAATCAGAGCATCCAGAACGGTAGCGTTGTCGGGAAGCGATACTTCGAAATCTTCCCAGTAACTAGCAGGAGCCTCTGACTCCGGATCGAATCGCCTGATCTTGATGGTAACGTCCATTGACTAATACTTCCTCTCTTCGGGCTGCCATTTGGTAATAGTGACGGGCAAGTAGGAGAGTTCCGGTCCCACCTCTCCCTTCTTGGCTACAATGTGCTTCAACCAGTTTTCGTCATCTCGCTCCGGGAAGTCGGTACGGGAATTGGCACCGCGGCTTTCCTTGCGTTCCAGGGCGCTGAAAGCAATGGTATCGGCCACGTCCAGCATATAGCCCAGTTCCAAAGCGAATATCAGGTCGGTGTTGAACACCCGGTTCTTGTTTTGCACTGGTACTCTGGCATAACGCTCTCGCAACCCCTCCAGGTCCCTGATGGCCTCGCCGATGGTCTGTTCATCGCGAAAGACGGCCACGTTGCTAACCATTGACTCGCCCATCGCCTGGCGTATGGCCCCCCAGCGGTCTCCATTGTCGGGACGCTCCAACATATCACGGATGCGTCCTTCTTCCCGAGCGACCACTTCGTGCTCGTCAAAGTCGACAAAATTCAGGCTGCGGCAGGCATTTGCAGCATGGTTGCCGGACCGTTCACCAAATACGATAGTATCCAGTAGCGAGTTGGCCCCAAGTCGATTGCCGCCGTGGACACTGACGTTAGCACACTCACCGGCTGCGTAGACGCCGGGAATACTGGTCAGACCATCAATGTCGGTTTTGATGCCCCCCATGATGTAGTGCATGCCGGGGCGTATGGGAACCGGCTCTCTCACCATGTCTACGCCGGCCAAATCTATGCCGATTTCCCTAATCTGGCTGAGCTTCTCCATAATCAGGGCTTCGCCAAGGTGGGTGCAGTCCAGGAAAACGCAGCCATTAACCCCGTTGCCAGCGTTAATTTCAGTCTGTTCAGCGCGGGACACCACATCGCGCGAAGCCAGTTCCATCATGTTGGGAGCATACCTTTCCATGAAGCGATTGCCGTCTTTGTCCCTAAGATAAGCGCCCTCACCTCTGGCAGCTTCTGAAAGCAAGACGCCGCTTCCCGCCAGGGTAGTGGGATGATATTGGACCATTTCCATGTCCATGAGGCCTGCTCCCGCGTTATAAGCGAGAGCCATCCCGTCCCCGGTTACAATCAAGGCATTGGTGGAAGGCTCAAACAACCTACCACACCCTCCGGTGCAGAAAATCACCGTCTTGGCCCTGATGGCATGAAGCTGTCCGGTACGAATTTCAAGGGCGATTACCCCAGCCACCTGGCCTTCTTCCTCGATCAGTGAAGTTACAAACCACTCTTCATAGCTGCGGACTCCCGACTTAATCAACTGCTCGAACATGACGTGTAGCAGCGCTTGTCCGGTAAAGTCGCCCACATAGAAGGTTCGGGCACGCCGTTGCCCTCCGAAGGCTCGAGTGCCCAGCTTTCCCTCGTCATCCCTATTGAAGGTAACGCCCATGTGTTCCATGTCTATCAGGGCCCTACCCGCGGAACTGCACATGACCTCAATGGCATCCTGGTCGCCCAGGAAATCGCTACCCTTGATTGTGTCGTATGCGTGGTCTTCCCAGTCATCGCCACGGTCCAGAAGGGCGGCGTTGATCCCCCCCTGGGCAGCGTTGGAATGACTGCGTACCGGGTGCACCTTGCTGATAATAGCTGTGTTGGCGCCATTAGCGCTGGCGGCAATAGCTGCTCTCATTCCCGCCAGTCCGGCGCCTATTACCAAGACATCATGCTCAAGCATAATTTTACAGTTTTCTCCCCTAGCTTTCGGGCATGGCACTGGGCCCTTGCCCATTCTATCGCCTAATTATCCACGGAACCATCTTCGCCAACAACCCGCATAGCCTGCAAGAGCGCAGCAATGCTTTTGGCATCGCAAATATCCCCGCGGGCTATTAGTTCCAGGGTTTGTGCCAGTGGAACTCTTACGGTCTCGACCATCTCGTCATAGTCTTGCTCCTTATCCGACGGCTGAAGGTCAGTTGCCAAATAGGTGTACATGTATTCGTCGCACCACCCAGGAGCGAGCCAGAAACCCGGCAGGGGCCGCAATGTCTTGGCAATATGGGAAACTTCTTCCTGAAGTTCCCTCATTGCCGCCTCTTCCGGAGATTCACCATCTTCTATGCCCCCCGCCGGCACTTCCAACAAGACCGATTCTGTAGGCTTGCGATACTGACGCACCAGCAGAACTTGCCCCTCCGAGTCCAGGGGTACCATGCACACCGAATCGGAATGCTCTACCACTTCCCGCACCGTGAGGCGCCCATTGGGCATCCGCACCTGATCTTTCCGGAGGCTCAAGATTGTGCCTTCATATAGGAAGTTGGATTCCAGTGTAGTTTCCGTTAAGTCTCTTTCCACAAATGCGTCCGTTCTATTCCGGATTCAGTCGCTTATTGCCACTGCGCTTTAGGGCCAGCAGGACCTTACCTATTGCCCTCTAATGCTGAATCCCAGCCTACGTGTCAATGTGGCATAAAAATGCTGGCTGGGATGTGCCCTTAAGAACCTTGCCTTGAAGGGGCTCTGTTCAATTTCCACACGATCCCCGGGTTGCAATTCACGTTCGATATATCCATCCACGCTGAGCACCGCTTCCTGTGCACCTTCGAGGTAAAGACCTATCTTGGCTTTTGGGTCAAGTACTAGCGAGGCAGACATACCCACATGTGCCGCCACAGGCTTTAAGACCAAGCCCTCCGAAAGGGGATCGAGAATCGGCCCACCTACCGCCAAACTATACCCGGTACTGCCCGTCGCCGTGGCCAATATAATGCCGTCGGCCCTCAGCGATGCTACCTCTGCGCCGTCCACAGTAGTCCGGATGGTCACAACCCTCGAAACTCCACCGCGAGAAAGGACTACATCGTTTAAAGCGTGAAAGGGTCCCTCAACCTCAGAGGTGGCGGAATTTGGAGCACGCACGATCCGCGCCATAATCATATTGTGCGAATCGATTCTGTAGTCACCCCGGTAATATGACGGCAACTTTTCCAGGGCATCATGCACCTGTAGTTCGGTCATGAATCCAAGTCGCCCCATGTTGATTCCCACCATCGGGACATCAAGAGGAGCGGTAACCTGTACCGCTCGCAACATAGTGCCGTCGCCGCCCGCTGTAACTACCAGCTCAGTTTCCGTTACCTGATCTCTAAGCTCCTCCAAATTCTCCGCCGGAGATATCCAACTCCTCTGTTCCAGCGAGAGTTCGTTGACTATAGCAGTACTAAGATCCAGAGCCTCGGGTATGCGGGCGTTGTAGATTATACCTACAGTTCGTATTTGGCTGGACAAGTAAACCGACCCTTTGAATAAATCGTTTCGAGACCTGGCCAGGAGGTGGCAGTCTAACATTGCACAAATTTAGTGTCAATTGGCGCCGAAATGCGTTATTTTACTTACGACTTTTAACCAGGAATGCCCCGTTTCCTCTTGGGGAGACAGACCTTTCAAACTGCCGCCCCCAGAGAACTTTCCGCCTCTCTGTTGAACCCTGATGCTGGGTCAACGTGGCTCTACGGAGCCAGCACTCCCGGCAGGGCCGTTACCGCGCTTTCTGCTGCCTGCAATATCGGTTCAAAGGCGATGCCCAAAAGAACAGTGCAAACGGCGGTGACGGTTAAGGCGACAACAGTCAAAGAAAACCTGCCATTCCGGTTAAGTCCGGACGCCGTGGATGAATTCCTATAACCCATCGCCGCCACCGCTTCCGACTCGGGCGACAGAAACATAACCCTGATTATTCGAATGTAATAGTAAGCCGAGATAACGCTGTTTACTGCTCCAAGAATGGCGAGCCATGCCAGGTCGCTCTTTACTGCCGCCAAGAAGAGATAAATTTTTCCGATGAAAATACCGGTAGGAGGGACCCCAATAAGAGCAACAAGGGCTAAAGCCAATGCAATGGCAACGAACGGGTAGCGCGTGAATACTCCCCCATAGTCCTCAATCAGGTCGCTCCCAATCCGAGAGTGGATCGCCAGAATGGCAAAGAATGCAGTAAGGTTTGCGGCCGAATAGGCGACAAGATAAAACAGGACGCTACTGGGTCCAAATGTTGTAAACAGTCCTCCGTCGTCCCCAGCAGCCACGCCTTGTGTAACGGCAGCTACGCCAACCAAAATGTAACCGGCGTGGGCAATGGTACTGTAACCAAGCAAGCGGCGAATATTGCTTTGAGCTATGGCAACGAGATTTCCAACAGTCATAGACAGTGCTGCCAGGACAGCCAGCAACATTCCCCAATTGTCATCAAAGATCAGGAAACCACTGTAGAGGACCCGAAGAAGCAGGGCGAAAGCCACGGCCTTGCTGGCTACGGACAAGAAAGCAACCATCGGTATAGGGTGCGCCTTCATAAATGTCAGGGACCCACATTTGGGAAGGAACTGAAGAAAGCTTGAAGGCAATTCCGGCAGTGAGGACGGCAACCCCAATCAGCACCGCATAGCTGCCAAATGGTATTTCATTACTGACCGGCCCGCTCAGGGCCAGAGCAATGCCGCTTAGCGTCGTGCTCCCACTGAACCCGTACAGCAGCGCCATGCCATAAAGGGTCAGCCCCGAACTAATGGCTCCAATTACCAGGAACTTCATGCCAGCTTCGCTGGACCTGGAGTTGGGAAGAAATGCGGCAATCGCAACCAGGGGCAGGGTAGTTAACTCCAGTGCCACGTAAATCGTGATTAATTCAGTGGCTGAAGCTAGCAACATCATTCCGCTGGCCGAAAGCAGCATCAGCCCATAGAATTCTCCCTGTAGACGTGAGAGCGCATTGACATAAGACACAGACGCCAGGAAAACCAGCGCCAATGTCGCAACAACCAAGAGGTTCAGAAAGGTTCCAAACCTGTCAACTGACAGGCTGTCAGCAAGGACGCTGGTGGCCGGCACTAGATTGTCCGTACCGAAGCTGCCAAGTCCGCCAGGCAATTCGGAGAGCTGCGCCAAAACAAACCATAAAGGAACCACCAGCCCGGCCAGCGCTAGAGCGCTTAACCATCTCTTGCGACCTATCACCAGGTCAGCGAGGATGACCAGTATGCCCAGCCCAGCCATACTCAATTGCGGTGAAATCAGGTATAGATCTTGTAACGACATGTCGGTATTTTTCTCGCTACCTCGTGCCGACGGAGCCCATTGAGGAAGCGTTAATCATTTCAACCATAGGTTCAATAGCTGTATCGAAGACATCAGTTAGCAAGTGGACGGGGTAAACCGCGACAAGTCATATGTCTGACCACGCACAGAGGGCAGTATCGCTTCCAGTGAGAGCGAGTCGGTTATTGTCGCAAACCGCTCCGGCTCGGGACCAATAGGAGACCGCTCTAACATCCAAGAATGTACCAAAACTGCCGCCAGGATTATCCCAGTACTGTAACTAGAAAGCAACGTTGATAGCGGATGACCCGGCAGGCGCCAAGAAAACCAGGATGTCCGAAACACAAACCCCTACTCCAGTCAGGCAACCCGGAGGAGCGAATCCACGCATCGCCAGGGGCAGCGCAGCAATTGCATACGATAGCAAGCCTCCCAGGTCGGGAATGTCAGAGTGTGAGCTTGTCGTATATGAGTCCACACGCCAACCCACAGCAACGCGATCGGGTTAATGCGCCATGGGAATATTGCAAGGCTGCATATGCGGCACCTGGTCCAACCCGAGCCGTCACACTGCTCCCGGCGGCTGCGCCCACTGACCCTACTATCACGACCACTACCAGCCCATGTGCTGACGCTGGCAATTGGCGATCAGAAACGCTTCAAGTCTGTTATGCGCAAGGTGACTACTGTGCGCCCCCGTACAACAAAATTTTA